CAAATCTGCTGTTAAGAGGGCTCTAATGAATGAAGATATTCTGAACATAAAACGCAATAAGCGAGACAGCAGAACCTCTTGTATAACTGGACTGTGCAAAGTGTCAGACTGCCTAGTTGTTGCTTGTAATGACAGTAAGTGTTTGAAGCTAATAGATTTAAAACAAAAATATGAGAAATCTTCAATAAAACTGGAAACAGCCCCCTTCGATGTTACCGCTGTTGAAATCAACAAAGTCGCTGCAACCCTGACTGACGCTAGGAAGATCCTGTTTATGGATGTTACAAAAGGTGATAAACTCATACCAGTCAATGAGACAGATGTGGGTAAAAAGTGTTATGGGATTGATTACCTAAAGCCAAATCTGATTGTAGCATGTCAGGACCCGGGCAGTGTTGAAATCTTAAATGCAAATGGCGAGCATATCAAAACATTGGCTAGTTTCAATGCACCCCAGTACCTATCTGTAGATCAAATCAGTGGAATGCTGTACGTAGAGGACAAGGAAAACGAATCTACTGATCAGTCCAAGAAATGGGCCATCAAGAAAGTCAACAATTCTGGACAAGTCTTAAAGACTATCTACAGCCACAGTTCTAATGGTGTAGTTGTAGACAACAATGGTTCAGTCTATGTTTATCAAAAACCTCTCCTGTACAGGAGGAAAGAACCGTTACATCAACTTTCCAAAGATCTAGAAACTGTTCAATCTGTTGACAAAGAAAAACACATTTCTGGTGGAGGTATGTGTCTCCATTTCTGTCACAGGGAGTCTAAGCTTTATATTGGAACTACCTGGGGTAAAATAGAAGTGCTTCAAGTGACATAGATCATTCAGAATAGGATTGCTTCAAGTGACATAGATTATTCAGAATAGTAGTGCTTCAAGTGACATAGATCATTCAGAATAGTCATGCTTCAAGTGACATAGATCATTCAGAATAGTAGTGCTTCAAGTGACATAGATCATTCAAAATAGTAGTGCTTCAAGTGACATAGATCATTCAAAATAGTAGTGCTCCAAGTAACATAGATCATTCAAAATAGTAGTGCTTCAAGTGACATAGATCATTCAGAATAGTAGTGCTCCAAGTGACAGATCATTCAAAATAGTAGTGCTCCAAGTAACATAGATCATTCAAAATAGTAGTGCTTCAAGTGACATAGATCATTCAGAATAGTAGTGCTCCAAGTGACAGATCATTCAAAATAGTAGTGCTCCAAGTGACAGATCATTCAAAATAGTAGTGCTTCAAGTGACATAGATCATTCAAAATAGTAGTGCTTCAAGTGACATAGATCATTCAGAATAGTAGTGCTCCAAGTGACAGATCATTCAAAATAGTAGTGCTTCAAGTGACATAGATCATTCAAAATAGTAGTGCTTCAAGTGACATAGATCATTCAGAATAGTAGTGCTTCAAGTGACATAGATCATTCAAAATAGTAGTGCTTCAAGTGACATAGATCATTCAGAATAGTAGTGCTTCAAATGACATAGATCATTCAAAATTAGTCTTCTAATAAACAGTCAATTATTTAAATTTGTAAATACTGTTACATTGACACTATAAATGGTTATAATGTGACATAGAACATTCTAAATAACTTTTCTAATGAACATAATACTGAGATAAATATATTTATCAATATATAGCATGCAGACTACAAACAAAAAAATTGTTAAATTAAAATGTTGATTATGTTCAATATCAAATACATGTAGGATAAAAATGCACCTTTATGTAGCTATGAAATGTGTTAAAAACAATCACAATGACACTTCTTATGTCTTAAAATATTTTATTTTCTTTAGTGTGTATTTAATTTATTTTGATTTATATATTTTCTTCAAAGCTGATTCATTGTGTATATAATTTATTATCTGATAAACTATGGTGCTCTAAATCAATTTACAACTAGAAATGTGTCATCATGCCACGGATGCCCCCGCATGCAGCCAAAATTTCAGATGTTATTATATTTAGTTCCAAATTTGTTTGCACAAATTATTGTTTTCAATGTTAACACTAAAACTTTTCAATGTTAACACAAACCATTTTCATACAATGTTCAAGGCACTGAAATTATTCAGTCTTAACCTTTTGAAAATAGCATATTTCACATTAAAGTATGAGTGCTGAAACTGAAAGTTCAAAATTTTTCCAATATTCAAGAAAGATAAGTTTGTCCAAAATCATTGAACCACGACCAAATTCAAACTTCTGCTTATTCCTAAGATGTATCTATATTATTTTCAAAGTGAAAGGGACATAACTCTGCCAAAAAATCATCAAACCATGACCAAATTCCAACTTGACCTGCCCATTCCTTTGACATATCCATTTGAGTTGAATATGTAACACTGTTGGGTAGATAATGAACAGAAACTGTAAATTTCATATTATTTTCAAAGTAAAAGGGGCATTACTCTGCCAAAAATCATTGAACCATGACCAAATTCGAACTTGGCCTGGGCATTCCAAAAACATATCCACATGTTAAATTTGAGTTGAATGTGTAACACTGTTGGGTAGATAATGAACAGAAACTGAAAATTTCATATTATTTTCAAAGTAAAAGGGGAATCACTCTGCCAAAAATCATTAAACCATGATCAAATTCGAACTTGACCTGTCTTTTCTCATGACATATCCATATGTCAAATTTGAGTTGAATGTGTTGTACGATTGGGGAGATGATGAACGGAAACTGAAAATTTCATATTATTTTCAAAGTAAAAGGGGCATAACTCTGCCAAAAATCATCTAACCATGACCAAATTCAAACTTGACCTGTCTTTTCTCATGACATATCCATATGTCAAATTTGAGTTGAATGTGTTGTACCATTGGGGAGATGATGAACGGAAACTGAAAATTTCATATTATTTTCAAAGTAAAAGGGGCATAACTCTGCCAAAAATCATCGAACCATGACCAAATTCGAACTTGACCTGTATTTTTTCATGACATATCCATATGTCAAATTTGAGTTGAATATGTGCAACCATTACTAAGATAATGAACGGAAACTGATGATGACGGAATGACAGAATGACGGAAGGACGGAACAGGGTAACACTAAATGCCCCGGCCATTACATGGCGGGGGCATAATAAAATAATAAACAAATTATTCACTGTTAACTTTAACAAGCCAGAATTTGATCTTTACATGCCAAAATTTTACTTTGATAAGCAACAAGAACTGTCGGAGGACAGTAACGCTCGACTATTCGAAAATTTGTCACAAGGGTGTTTCATTGAGTATAATAATGCTTACCTATATGAATACATAAAATTGTCCGAAAAGGTACAAACTCTTCAAGTTTCAATACATTCCCTTCAGTATTTATGGAGATACAAGCTTACATGCAAAAACTTAACCAAGAATTCATGAGTCGAAAAAGGGGCATAATTATGCAAAGAAGCAAATCAGAGTTATGGGACTTGTACCAATCATCTTAGATAATCACAGAGACCAAGTGTGTGAAGTTTCAATCCATTCCCTTCAGTAGTTATGGGTTACCAGCTTACACGCAAAAACTTAACCAAGAATTTCTAAGTCGAAAAAGGGGCATAATTATGTAAAAAAGCAAATCAGAGTTATGAGACTTGTGCCAATCATCTTAGATAATCACAGAGAACAAGTGTGTGAAGTTTCAATCCATTCCCTTCAGTAGTTATGGAGATACCAGCTTACATGCAAAAACTTAACCAAGAATTTCTAAGTCGAACAAGGGGCATAATTATGAAAAAAAGCAAACCAGAGTTATGGGACTTGTGCCAATCATCTAAGATAATCACAGAGAACAAGTGTGTGAAGTTTCAATCCATTCCCTTCAGTAGTTATGGAGATACCAGCTTACATACAAAAACTTAACCAAGAATTTCTAAGTCGAAAAAGGGGCATAATTATAAAAAAAAAGCAAATCAGAGTTATGGGACTTGTGCCAATCATCTTAGATAATCACAGAGAACAAGTGTGTAAAGTTTCAATCCATTCCCTTCAGTAGTTATGGAGATACAAGCTTTCATACAAAAACTTAACCAAGAATTTCTAAGTCGAAAAAGGGGCATAATTATGAAAAAAAGCAAATCAGAGTTATGGGACTTATGCCAATCATCTTAGATAATCACAGAGAACAAGTGTATGAAGTTTCAATCCATTCCCTTCAGTAGTTATGGAGATACCAGCTTACACGCAAAAACTTAACCACAGGGACGCCGACGCCGACAAATGGGTGACTGCATTAGCTCGATTATTCTGCGAATAGTCGAGCTAAAAACCTTAATTCTGCATGTACAACTGTGCATGTACCTATTCCATGCCACAGAATGTCTCCATCTTTGTCTAAACTGAAAGTCTGAAACTGAAGTTTCACCTCTGATTTCACTGGTAAATAAAACTAGGCACAAATTATAAACCCGTAACTTGCTTAATTTCTTAAGAAGACTTTTCAAACTTACACTTTGAGAGCTCTCTATTATCAATTTTGGGGAAAGTCAAGATTTAGACTTGGTCAGCCAATAGAAAAGAGCCTAGCAAGCCAGGCAGGCCTTGTCAGCCAACAAAAAAGAGCCTGACAAGCCAGGCAGGCCTGGCTCTATACAGGTGGCAAAGGCTAATCATTTCCGGTCCTAGCATAGTAAATTAATCAATCGTAGTTAATTAATCAATTCCTGTGACAGCTTGGTAAGCTGCAGTATATATTAAATGACACTCATAGCTTCCACATCTGAGATCTGCACTCTCAGTGCCTGAAAGGGTGGAAGGACCCTCATTAAGCCTAGAATACATACATACATGCTTCCACACCTTGCTTGATGCTGACCTTTAAAATTCATCCACCAAGAAACGTTTATAATTACGCTTTATATCAAATTAAGAAATAATATATCCCAAATAGTGATTTTATCGCTAAAAAAAAATCACTGGAGTTCAGATGCAAGGAATTATATCATGAGGGCGTGATAAATAAAGTTATTTAAGTCTTACCTGATGATCTGGGGCTAGAAACTTCACAAGTCTTTTCACTAGTTTGACAACACAGTAAGGGTAGCCCGACACTTCACAAACGTCAATCAGTAACTTTGTATGCTGGTAGCATAAATCTGCAGACCCAAACCTGTTCATTCAAAAAATAAAGATATTACAAAATTGCTAGCAGTTTTGGTCCTTATGGTCTTTTTTTCTCTTACTTTTCTGATTCAATTTGTTTGACCTTAGAGCTAAAGATCTGGAGAAAGGGTGATCCCTTAGAAGCATTTATCACAACAAAATTACATGAAAGTTGCAGACTCAGTTTGAATTGAGCCTGTACTTGAGAGAAAGTACCAAAGAATCAGTATCATAGAAAATCAATGATTCACCAGACTACAGTATAATTATGTTGTACAACCGTACCTACAACAGAATGAAATTTTATACGATGTTTTAAAATCAGTATTTTATGCAACTCAAACATTAACAAATCTTGTTACAATATTTCATGTCATTCAAACATTAATGAATTTTGTCATTTTGATATCAACTCACTTATCTCATTATATGTACGTTTATTGAGCATATCAAAACACTACAGTGTCAAAATGAGCAAAACTATGACAACATTAGCAAAACTATGATAAAATGAGCAAAACTATGTCACATTGAGCAAAACTATGTCAAAATGAGTAAAGTTTAAATGACACATTGAGCAAAACTATGTCAAAATGAGTAAAACCAAGTCAAAATGAGCAAATCTATGTCAAAATGAGCAAAACTATGTTAAAATGAGCAAAACTTTGTCAAAATGAGTAAAGTTTAAATGACACATTGAGCAAAACTATGTCAAAATGAGTAAAACCAAGTCAAAATGAGCAAATCTATGTCAAAATGAGCAAAACTATGTAAAATGGGGGGGGGGGGGGAAACCATCAAGGTAAAAACATTCTGACCTTGATATGAAGCACCATACATCTTCTGTAAGACATGACACATACATGTTCACTGAGAACAAACTCTGGAGTAGACTTTCCTCCTGTAATACATACCAAAACAATTCATGTAAAAACATACAATCACTTACTATTCAAATCAGCAAATATTTTATAGAATATCCAACATACATATAGATTTGGGCTGGAATCCACAATAAACACCATACATTAATTATATCTGTCATATTTTCCAGTTCGGATCAGAATATCCAACAGGGCCACCGAAAGAAAGGATCTTCCAACCCAAACCGCAATCATACGTCAGATTTTTTTTTTCTTGCATATTCTACCATATTCCATTATATTTTAAACGCTACTTTAATGAAACAATTTTCCATGGAACTTTGTCATTACACCCGTAACAGCATATAAATTACAACTTCATTCATAACAATAAAATAACGTCATCCTAAGCGTGCTATTGTACAGCAAGCGACTCATCTGGCACACCCCCCATGTCAGATGAAATTTCCTACATGGGTAAGTAAACTTAACAGAATTACCAGTCTGATATTCAAGAAAAATTGATCTATGTTGAAGTCAACATTACTTCTAACTTGACACTATATCAGTTGACAAACACAACATGTAAGCTGTTGGCCGCCTTATTGGTTACCCTTTGATTTTGTATTAAACTCACAATGGAATGTTCTTAATTCAAAGCAAGACAGGCTTATTTTATACTGTATATCAGTGTATTGATTACATAACCCTTAAAATATCAGGGGAGGGCCAATCGCTAATGTTGTAAGAACTTGAGCCCAACCCTTTCGCTATTTGTTATTTCAAAATCAATTTGTTTCTCTGTATATTTACATGAATATATTAGCAATAAAATATGATTAAACTTGTTCAATTAAGAATACAATATCTTACCAGAACATTGAAATATTTTGCTGGCAAACTGCCAACAAGACCACAAACCTGGGTACATACATACTCATATAGGGGCACTTCTTTTGTTGTCCTCATTGTTAAAGACATACTGAATGCAACATAACCTGTAAGGGAAATTTTAAAACTATGGTAATCAATGGTTTATTCATATATGGCTGGTAAATAACATAATTTTTAATTTGTTACATTACTTTTGCTGTCAACAGCATTATTAAATTCTCATGCCCTAAAAATTGTGTAACTGGTAAACAATCTGTGAGGACGTGAACGTGAGTAAACTAGGCGTTGTGTACGGTTTGTTTCCTTTATCAACAATCAATGTTTACATACATAGGAAGTGACGTAACATTAATACCATAAAGATTCCGCGCAAAAGCCATGTTACGCAATGTCATGGCAAATATACAACACAATCTATCCTAGGCTTATGACCACCTCCAAATAAAGACCACTTTCAGAACTCTTGTGAGTTGTCAATAAAGATCACCCTTTTGTTTGTGTATTTTAAAATTTGTGCAAAATGTACCTGTTTAAAGAAGCTACCTGTAAAGAAATGCCATTACTTCAATGCATTCTTTTTGAAAGTATATCTAAAATAAAAGAAGTATTTTCTAAAACCATTCCTGTAAAAGAAAGTTTTGAAATCTGATTGGTCAGTTTTAAGAGACAGTGTGTACTATCAACCAATCAAAAGACACGTTACTCACAATGAGATGCTGCCAGGAAGATCTGGTCAAATATACTAGATGATGACTCATTATTATTTATATGTTTCATCCAGCATTGTAATACATCATCTGAAATATATTACAGGAAAATATTGTCATTTTCAAAGGTATAAAGCATAAAGACATTACTGAATTTTACATAATTAAAAAGTTATGTAAGACTTTACTGCATTATATTCATTTAAAAAAATGAAGTGTATGAATACTTTTTATTGGTTGGGTTTTCAATAACTTCAACACTGTCAAGGTCATATGGCAACTTTTTAGCTGCAGTGATGGAGGTAGACTTCCAGTGCTCCTTAGTGCATTGTTTCAGACACAAGCGGGTAGAAGCACCAACATTTTGTAAGCTAGTTAGATAGCTTCCGCACATGAAGTATTAATGCCTGCTTTTGTCATAATGAAATAAATGAAAGTATTTGCCTTGTCTAAATCAAAGCCTTCATCATAGACTACTAAAGTTATGTAATGGATTCGTCCTCACTGACAGAAGATTTGGCTAAGCTTATATTAATTAATTTCTTTTTTGCATAACAACTTCTATCTTTATCACTGTCATTTGTCTTATGTTACACCAACACAGTATAAGTCATATGGCAACTTTCAAGCTTTACTGGTGGAGGAAGACCTTACGTACCCTTTCGTACATTATTTCAGGCACGAACGGGCCTATGAGTAGAACAACCAACATTCAACTGACATCATTCAAGAGGGTTTTTGTAACTACAATGTAATAATATCAAACAATCAAAAAATTTATCAAACTTTCTACGCTCTTAACTAAATACCTGTTTGTTTAGGTAGGCAGTCGGCAATCTTCACCAGAAGCTCTAACCTTGCAAGACTATCCTCTGATGCTACATCTGAAAATAAGATAGTAAACAAAGTCAAAATTTACAACTTCAAAAAGACACAAATGTTTTAAAAAGAGCTCTATTGAGGTCAAAAACCCTAAGAACATAACATGTGAAAATCTCACATAGATTAATTGAGGCACATGAAACAGAAAAATATGAAAAAGATAAATAAAGATCTTTTACTCAGTATTGAATTTTTGGTAATAGCAATATTTAATGCAAATCTTAGCCAAAGTTGAATTAAAAGCGTTTAAACATTTATTATTTTTATGTCATTTTTGCACAATAAAGATGATTATTCTGGAAAAGTGTTATCAGGGAATAAACTGAAATTTTGCACACAGATCTGAAATTTTGCACACAGATCATTGGTAGAAAACTATATCCAACCATATTAAAAAAAAAACAAAAAAAATATTACCAGTCCCATCATATCAAACAATCTCAGTGATGTCAATTTAAGGCAAAAGTTATGTATAATATATGTCACAGGCATTTTTTAAAAGTAGGCATTTTGTAATATCCCTGAAATTTTAGTCATTTTGTAAAATGACTGAAGTGGCTAGTCATTTTGTAAAATGCCTAAAAAATCTAGGTTTTTTGTAAATTCCCTGAAATCATAATGAAGCTTTCAAGAAATTGCCTGCAGTATTTCAGGCATTTTATCAATATTTTTAAGAATTTCCCTGAAATGATTTAGTCTATTTGTTGAAAATGTTATATTTAACCCGAGTTGGTATAATGTATGCCTGTTTAAATTTCATATCTGGTCATTGGTATGCCAGCTCTAATATGATAACAAAAACTAATTACTTTGATTGCAGCAAGGCAAAGATTAAATTACTCCTGTACCAATAAAAAAATACAAAAAACTATATGAATATCTATACATACCACTGCCCTGTGACATTATACTGGTAACAAATGTCCTATTCTGAACTAGCAAGTTCACCAACGGTTCTATACCATTAACAAGATGTCGTCGGATCTCATCTAAACTTGTCACAGATATGTTCACCTCAACAATACAAGGGGGCAAACTCCTGCAAAATTTCTCCAATTCTTATAAACTAAGAAAGGAAATGTTGTGTTATATAAACATGATAAAAATTGTAAGTTACATGAATGCTTTCTTCACAACTTGTTTAGTTAGGTTTTACAACATATAAAGACTTATATACAGATTTGAGTTCTTCATATATTGTAACATGACTTAAGATCTTTTTGGTTGTGATTTATGTCACATTCAAATTCCAGCTATAATAGATGGAAAGAAAACCCAAACTAGAGCTGTTTTGCCGACGCCCGAGTACCTATTCTTTCAATGGTCAAGCTTAAAAAAATCTCTGGTAATTTTAACCACAAGCATGAACCTTGGTAAAACAAACTTTTTCAAAATCAGGGTTCGAATTTAAGCTGGCATACTGGCAAAATGCCAGTTAAAATCTAATAATGCCAGTAAAAATTACTCTAGCTGGCATTTATTTGCAAGTGACTGTTCATTTTGGACATATACATTATACAAAATTGTTATTTTCTGAGCTGATGATGATGCTTGGCAACTGCCCGCTGAAGAAACTGATGATGTTTAATGTGCCAGATGCAGTAACTGATGACGTTTACTTATAAATTCTAAACTTCTAAATCAATTTTCAGTTGCTATCAGTTTTTAGTTGCTCTATTTTTTTTCTGTGACTATGTTTTGATGGACTATTTATAACAACCAAACACTATTTGTTAGAACTCCATGTTGTTTTATCCAATGTAAATGCGTAGCACTACTCTGTAAAGTGATTACTTTTAAGCTGAAATATTTGTTTAAGTAGATCAGTACCTCTAGGTTTCAGTCAAGCACAAAATACGCTAAAATTAATGAAGGTCCTAAGAAATTACATTACATGAACAAGTTTATAACTGTACATTGTCACCAGTGGGTGCTCCTCTGGTATATCTAATCTGATCCCTAAACAATTATCATTTATAAGTTAATGCGTTGAAATGTTTTTGTTTCATTACAAGAAGAAATAGATCTGTGTTTACTTGTGATAAAGATGCTTCTGACATGATTCAAGCTTATTATCATTTGTCATATCAGATGTTCAAAATACATTGTCATTGTGTATTATAGTAATGATAAGATTCGTGATCATGGAAATGCCAGTTGACTACCTCATATTGCCAGTTAAGCATTTGATCACTTGCAAAAATCTGCAAGTAGAAAATATCGCTAAATTCTAACCCTGAAAATGAAAACTCATACCCCTATCAAAATTTGATATTCTCCGCTTACCTGAATATAGATACTACCATATCATACACCGAGTTCACACAATCACTGATACTATCTATAAAACTGTCCAACAAGGAAATTATAACCCTCATCTGGTAACCTAGAACTTTCAGTGACTTTTGAAAGGCAGCGGAATCTCCTTGTGATAGGCTCTGAAATTAGAAAGGATGATATTTTGTCACTTTAGTGCAATAACTGGTTAACTCCTGTTCAATTTAGATGGACTTAACCTGTTACTGCACTAAGGTGATGACATTACATGTATGAGTTATTAAGATTTAGGCCACACAATATAACTTAGCAAAAATATTTGTAAGCTAGAAACATGTCCATAGGAAACGAATGCCCAAACATTCTGCTGTTTTTTTTTTTCCTAGTCTCTGGAGAGACAGCACAAAGTACAAACAAGAACAAATCTATCTGCACAATATGGCCAAGTAGCGGGCTTTTTAAGAAGTGGGGGTATAAAAAAGTTTGTACATCTCCCTATAAGAGCATAAAGAATGTTAAAACTACTGCATATAACATTCCATCAAAGATCTTTATGAGGAAAACATATCCTACATAATATCTATGTACTTCATTTTTTCCCATAATTCACAGCAGCATACAAATGACTAAATGATTTTGTTTGATTGGGTTTTACGTCACATTGACACAGTATAGGTGATATAGCGACATTCCAGCTTTTACTGGTGGAGGAAGACCTCAGGTGCCCCTCCCTGCATTATTTAAGGCTTGAACAGGCACCTGAGTAGAACCACCGACTTTCCGTAAGCTAGCTGGATAGCTTCCTCACATGAAAGAATCCAAAGTCCCTGTCGGGATTCGAACCAACAGAGGTGAGGGGCAAGTGGTTTGAAGTAAATGACCTTAACCACTCGGCCACGGACGCCCCCGACTATCCAATGAAAATCAATGTAACAAACATGTAGGATCACAACACTGTTACCTTCTTTTCAATGTAATATAATAGTACAGTACAACCTGTGAAACACAGCTCCCTATGGGAGACACAGATTTTCGTTGTTGCTGAGGGGCATTGCTCTAGAGAGGTTAAATTTATAGCCTTACTTTGGGAAGGATTGAAACTAGGTTATTGAATATTCATTTAAGATAGAATATGAAACTGTAAACTTTTTTAATTTGAAGATGAATATCATGCCTACCAATTCTTGGTTATTCTCACCAGGTGGCGCTAGTTGTAACAAATACGAATAACCTTTGTTGATCTCTGTACAGAGATATGTTACCATGGTATCCACATCTAGCCCATCTTTCAGATGATTTTTGTGTCGTCCTGACAACCTAGAGATTGCCTTCCATAGGCTGACAACCAGTTTCACATCCAGACTGGACACTACCTGACATATCTCAAACAATCCCTGGCACACTGAAACATTTTGATAGCATCTTAGAGACAGTAAATTTGCATAATGTAAAGATCACTATGTACTTATTTTTATTCAATTTCTTTACAAAAACAACAGCTGTCAATACGACAGCCTGCTCCACCCGTCTCAGTGCTTGTAAGTTTGGAAGTTAAACAAAAGCCTGGATAATGTTGTTTTTATTTCAGTTAAAAACAAGGGCCTTAATTCTGTCAAAATCCATGTAATAGACCTGGGATAGTGAGCTCCTATTATGCTCTCAAATAAGTGTGTGTAGTTTAAACTCATTTCCTTCATATCAACTTGCTAGCAAAAACTTAACCAAACCAAAGTGTGACACCATCTTGAGTACCACAGCTGTCCCTATTCTTTGTATAGTCCAGATAAAATGAATAACTTTCAAATTTGCACCTGATTAGTCAATGCTAATATTTAGTATGCTAGTTACCGGAACTTGACTTATGTTTGCGTTCTGGTAACGTGCATTTTTCCCAAGTGAAGTGTGGAACTGACGTGATTTTAAATAAGTGCACTTTAAACATTAAAATTCTAATTCAGAAATTAACAATAATTATAGTTTGGTACAAAGAACTCAAATTCTGAAACTTTTCAATTACACAGAAATATAAATGATACAAACCAAAACAAAGATCATCTATATCTTGCTGGCTGATACCTTTGTTGATAACAATGTTGTCCAGTAACCCTAGCAACGCCTAAAAATAAAATTAGTACATGTAATATGGGTTTTAACAGCTAAAGAATGCAATTGAATTTAGAACGTGTTTTATAAAGCATAAAGACCAGCATATTTGAATGGGTAAATATGTTAATTTTTAGTTTTTTAAGAAATTATAAAAATGATTTTCTGTTATCATTTGATACATCTGGTCTTGGAAAATTAACAATATTCAATTATGCCAACAAGAGGTTGGCTTTAGTTAAGGACATGGCCTTACTTTTCTTGCTTTAGCAAAGTAACTGCTTTTTTTATTAATTTACTGAAGAAATAATTGTTCAATATCATAGGAAACATTGTGCCATGTAAACTGTATGATGTATAGTGTTAATATGGACAGTTGGGTCAGAAATACATATATTGTAAATGTTAAAATTGCTACATATATGTTACAACTTCTGCACATGGGGCCTTAGTGGACAATAATCAAACCATGACAAGTACATTTCAGGCAGAGGTCGACACCAATTAGTATACTGGTGCCTCATATTTCCGTGATACCCATATTTCCGAGGTATTAGGCATAAACACTGTCAAGTGCCTCCTAGACTTCATGCACCTGTCTGGAGTTTTACTTCCACTTTCTTATTGCATTTTCAAGAGAGTGCTACATATACAACTGAGAAAAACTTATTATTATTTTATTCAGATTAAGAACAAAGTAAAATTATTTCCCCAATTTACTTTAAGTTTTCATACCTTTTAAGACAATTGTCTTTGTTCAACAACCATTGAGTTATTTGATAAATGCCATTGAGAAAATGCCCACTTTCAGACAGGGCTAGGTATAAATGTACTAAAAAATTAAAGATTAACTATTGGTTTTGCTTTTGAAACTTAAAATGTAATTGCCTTGGAAATATGAGAACACAACTTTACTCAGTAAGGCAGAAGAAAGGTGTTAATTGCCATGTTTGGTACATAATTGCTTACATGCAAACATTAAATGGAATAAACTATGATGTAACTTATATGTCTTTGCTTACAATATTCAACCTATTTTCCCGAATTTTATTCTTCTAACTTCTGTTGTCTGTGTTGAACAGATAAGTACCACGGAAATGTGAGGCACCGGTATAGAACCACCAAACATACGTAAGATAGCTAGATAGCTTCCTCACATCAACAGTTTCAACAGTTTCTAGTAGAATTCTAATCAAAGCAGCACAAATAGGGCAAAACTACGCCACAAAAGACAAGAGATTACAAGTCAAGAGACTTTAAACACACAGGTAGGCACCATAGTAGAACCACCAACCTTCCATAAGCTAGCTAGATAGCTTCCGCAGATTGAACAGTGTCGACAGTTTCTTGTAGAATGCTGATCAAAACAGCTGATTTAGAGCAAGAGACAAGACAGTCCAAGTCAAGAGACTTTAAACACACTAGCATGGGTTCAGTAGGATAACTTACCACTTGTAAAGCATGCGCCTTTTTGAAAAGGACAGAAAGTGGTTCTGTTACACAGGCCAGGGCATCCCCATATACTTCACTACTCTCCTGAAATAGAATTCATAATTTTTTCATTATTGTTGTTTTTTGTTGTTTTTGTTAAATCAGTGATATTAATTTGATTTTTTAAATAATCTGTGGCTTTCGGAAGGGGAAAATATTAGCATGATAAATCAGAAATGGGGGAAAACCTGAAATAAAATTCAAACAACTAAAAATGAAATCCAGAGGATAATGTAACTTTTTTAGAGTAAAAAAAAACTAATTTTGGGCTAGGGGAAATAGCCATTATTTTGCTGTTAAATATTGAGGAAAACATCACTGTAAATATAGTATCACAGAAATTGTGAAGTGGACAATTATAAAAAGGTAGCCTTTCTTTTAACTGTCCCTTTTGTCTTAAACTTTTTATCAATGAATAATCATGACAAAAATGAAAAAAATAAACTACAGACAAAGCAACAATTTACAGGCTTTCTATTTGTAGTAATTTTTAATGGTGGGCTTTTGCACAAGTCTGACTGTATTTTCAGTCATTAAATACTTCTTTTTTAAAAATACTACATAAAAATGCAATCATACACCATTCATAATTTATAAGCTATTTTATGGTTTAAGCTTAATAACTTTTATTATAAAACTGATAATTTATTTAAACTTATAAAAAAATGCATGTTTAAAATCATTTATTTATTTATTTAACAGTCTAAAATTAGAGTTACTAATCTGTTAACAAGATATTATCAACACAGATTAAGCTTATTTGTTTAAAATCAATTTTTGGCCTGTACACTACGTTATAACAGATGTTACAACACTGTAACACCGTTATACCGGCTTACAGCAAGGGAATAATCTATACCAGTTAAACTGTTGTAGCGTATATACAGGGGGGGGGACTTAAACGCTCCACTTGACTACACACTGGCGTAAACATGTAGCATGACATGGCTTGAATATAAAAACATTGTCTAAAATCATTGTTAAATTTCAATAATACACTTTCAACAGTGGATATTAACAGTTAAAACATTGAATTATGTATATATAGGTATATATACACATTTACAAATACATTACGGTATCTATTGGGAATATCTACACAGAAAGGTAAAGGAAATATATCTAATATCTTATTATACTAATTGACAACTACCTGATTTATTTATATTATCAATTAAGTAAAATCAATTTATTTTCAATTGAGTATTCTATGATAGTAATATCAGATAAATGGGTTATAGATTTTCATTTTAATCAATAGTTTTCAAAGAATTCATTGTTAAAGACTGTTCAATTAAATTCAGTATGTTATTTAAGTTAAAGCTACATGCCTCCAGATGACGCAAAGAATTGGAAGCAAATCAACCATGAGAAAAATGTACAAAGATTTGAGAAAAGTAAAAATATTTACAATTCAAGAAATAATGTACATGTTATACACAATTTATGACTGGGTCTGCATTATTTATTCAAAATAGACTGTCTCAGAAAATTTTAAGACAACTCTCCTGCATTTATTTCAAGGAATTGTCTGGCTTGCTAATTATATGCATTTGAAAGTTAAGATGTAAAATCAATATCATGATGATACCTCAAGTTAAAGAATAAAAGAGTCTGGTCAGAAAACGTCTTGAATATTGATTAACTAGCTATCTCCTCAATCTTGTTTCTAAATTGTTATCTAATTTATACAGGTGTGTAAATATTATGTAATGAAATAAGATAAGTTTAAAAATAAACTTCAACATTAAAACTGCTTCCAGATGAGCAAAAAAAAAAAATCAAGAAAATCAAACTTGAGAAAAATGTACTCAGATTTTAATAATTATTTACATATTAAGTGTGATTATTGACTGATTTTGCAGTATTTAATACCGTATTTCTACTACGTGATAAAAAATATCACTTTAAGGTCAATTTTATATTACTAGTTAAAAAGATTTTTGACAGGTTATATGGCACTATATAAATGGCTTTTTTGGAAATATAACCCTAGCCGCTATATTACAAACAAACCTTTATGTACAGTCATATTACCTTTCAGAAATATTTATAACAAATATATAATACAACAAACTTCCTTTTTTGAGAAAAAAACTGAGATTTCTTAGAAAATTGACAGCAGTTGTGTTTATAAAACTATATAAACATCATCCAATGAAAAGTGACATTACAAACATGTAGTATTATAATTAGTAATTTACTTGGACTGTAAGTGCTGTTTGCATTGTGTAATTTACTTTCTGTGTTCACAACACAATATTTTATTTTTAAATACATTTTCAAAATTTTCATGAAAATTAGCATGAATCTGCAGGCATGCTGCTTTAAAGTACCAACCGGCCTAGTGTATGTCAGTGTCTGTGCTTAAAACTTTAAAGATACTATATGATAAGAAGGACTGACTGTAAATAAAAAAAATCACTCTCAATGCTTAAGGAAACATCCAAGTACCAATTAGGAAAAATTACCATTAGGAAATTACCAATTCAACCAAGTGCTTTGTACTTTGACACAAAAAAACATTACTAATGCAATTAAATGTAGTTTGGTATGCTGGGGCATACAACTGATTTTACATTTTGTATGTTAAAACCGACCCCTTGTCACATAATGAGCTATATTATTTATCCCAATATAAATTTAATGTTTAAGTTAAGTAATAAAATATATCTTTAAATTTTCAAAGAAAAAAAAATCTTTGAATTTCAAAAACAATGACAATATAAAAACATATTTGCCATTTAGATACAAAAACAATCAAAATTCATATGGTTAATACCGTAAAATTCCTAATAAATGCCCCTCCCCTAATAAAAGCACCCCCCCCCCCCCTCGCCCAGGCTTTTTGATATGGATAAAAAATCTGTTCATCAGTGGTGAACTCTTGAATAAATCGCTAATTTTATTCAAATACTCCAGAATCCATTTTATTTCATAGTAAACACAAAAATGTATCACATGAACATTAAAATCTTAACACATTTTAATGTTATTACCAACACTTGTTAACACTAAATGTATTTCAATGATTTTTGGATTTAGGAAAAAGCATGTTGTAATAATAGCCCCCCTTTTGGAAAATGTTTAGCCCCCGGGGGCATTTAATAGGAATTATACAGTATGTACATGTAAATTGTACAGTATAACCTCCGCAAAGCAGCCCCTCTTTATAGCAATAACCTCTATACAGTAACACAGTACAGATTCTTCCCAAAGTAAAACTTTGTAACAAATTTCACCTCTCTCTAAAAGACAAAGCGTCTCAGTTACTAAAAAAAAATTTTTATCTCTCAAAAAGTGTTGCTGGACAGCAAATATTGAACTGTATTGTATATTAATTATTGGCATGATAAAATTAATGCTGTAGTGGTTAGGTTTATCTACTTATCATGTAATAAAAGTGCATAGCATTAATGATGAACTTTAAACATAAAAGAAAATTTTGTACTTTAAACATAAAAGAAAATGTTGTACTTTAAACATAAAAAAATTACACCAATATACAGTTTAGGGCAAACCCCAATAAATTCTGGATTCTGAGCTAGTGTAATAAGTATACTCTTTAATTTAAACAAATTTCTTTGCTAAGAAATTATATTACTATTATAATATACATGTATTATATGTTTGGCAAAACAGTTGAACATAAAGACCTTACGTCACCAAAAAATGGGACTTCAGATTAACTTCAATTATATGGCAGATCTCACGAAAACAACAACATAATTTCTTTGGCCTAAATTTTCTTGTTCGGACATCCATATATTTATTATTTTCTTAAATTTTAAGAGATCAATCCCTCATCTTTTCCTTAGCCATATAAAATTAATTGATAACCCAATAAATTGATTTTAAGGGCCTTCTTGTTTACATAAACATCTTCATGTTTAAATAAACATAATTGTAAACATTAACTGATTAGCAGGTGTTCCATATGTGTTTATGTTTACACTAGATTTTAAGCTAATCTTGAACTGATAATGTTAAAGTATACATCAGTATACATTGTAATTTTAATAGAGGTTTGGACATTATTTACTTTTATTATTTTATTTTTTTTGAGTGGGGGGGGGGTGGTGGCAGGTGTAGTAAAGGGAGGTGGGGGTTGGAGAGGAAGGCGCATTTTGGAATATTTGTAGAATATCATTTAGTTATTTATGGTCAGATATAGCCTAATTAATTTGGGCGTGAACGGTTTGATCCATTTTACAGACTTTTTTTTCTTACTGTCAAACCGTTGGAACAAGAGGGTCATGATGGCCCTGAAGTCGCTCACCTGTATATAGGCCCCCTGGAGCGGGGCCAGTTTAAACCCCCAGGCTTATATTTGAACAAACTTGGTAGACACTCATTAGAAGATGTTTCATGCTAAACATCTAAGGTCTAGCTTGTTGGGTTTTTTAAAAGAAGATTTTTTAAGTTTTTTCTTTACACATATATTTAAAAACAATGATACCACTGGGGCAGGGCCAGTTTTGACCCCAGGGCTTTTATTTGAACAATCTTTGTAGACACTTACTAGAAGATGTTTCATGCTTAATATCTAAACTCTAGCTATTCGGGTTTTTTCAAAGAGAATTTTTAAGTTTTTGATATACACATATAATGAAAATCAATGTCCCCCGGGGCGGGGCCAATTTTGACCCAAGGGTTCTTATTTGATTGACTTGGTAGACATCCATTAGAACATGTTTCATGCTAAATATCGTAGCTCTAGCTCTTTGGGTTCTTTTATAGGAGATTTTTAAGTTTTTACTATATTCATACTGGGAAAATCAATGACCCCCTGGGGCGGGGCCAATTTTGACCCCAGGGCTCTTATTTGAACAAACTTAGTAGACATCCATTAGAACATGTTTCATGCTAAATATCTTAGCTCTAGCTCTTTGGGTTCTTTAAAAGAAGATTTTTAAGTTTTTACTATATGCATATAGGAAAAATCAATGACCCCCTGGGGCGGGGCCAATTTTGACCCCAGGGCTTTTATTTGAACAAACTTGGTAGACACCCATTAGAAAATGTTTCATGCTAAATATCTTAGCTCTAGCTTTTTGGGTTCTTTAAAAGAGGATTTTTAAAGTTTTTACTATATACATATAGGGAAAATCAATGACCCCCTGGGGCGGGGCCAATTTTGACCCCTGGGCTTTTATTTGAACAAACTTGGTAGACACTCACTAGAAGATGTTTCATGCCAAACATCTAAGCTGTAGCTCTTTGGGTTTTTTAAAAGAAGATATTTAAAGTTTTTTCTTTCGGTTGCCATGGCAACCAGAGTTCTGCATGGAATTAAATTCTTTGAACAATTTTTAAAGGTGACCACCAAAGGAACATTCCTGTGAAGTTTGGATGAAATTGGCTTAGTGGTTTATGAGGAGATGTCATTTAAAGTAAAAGTTTGCGGACGACGGATGGAAGGACGACGGACGGACGGACGCCGGACGAAAAGCGATCACAAAAGCTCACCCTGTCACAAAGTGACAGGTGAGCTAAAAAGACAGCGCCCGTCCAAAATTATCTCGGAGTCTCTTTGACAAGTCTAATTAGTTGGACTAGGTCAGATGAGGCTTTTTTACTTCTGTCAGGGCTGTAAGCTAGTTTTTCCACAAGTAAAGTCAACTACCCCACATGACTCAGCACTTTAATAGCAGCAAATGGCAGTCTCGACTCAATTTTTTTCATAGCTCAAGGGCTAAATTCAAGGACCCATGCAAGATTTAAATGTTATAAGCTAATTTCCATTATAATTTGATTATTTGAAGTCGCCCAAGCATCATTGGATTCTACATGTGAGAAAGCTATCCAGCTAGCTCAAAAAATGTAGGTGGTTCTACTCAGGTACCTGTTTGTGCCTGAAATAATGTACAAAGAGACACCTAAGGTGACTTCCTCCACCAGTAAAGCAAGGAAGTCACCTTATGACCTGTACTGTGTTGGTGCAACACATTAAAACCCAAACAAACAACAAATCATATTAGAAAATGAGTGGCATGTGGCGAAGAAGTTTTTTACGAGAGGGAAAAACAAGAGGGCCATGATGGCCCTGAGGTCGCTCACCTGTATATAGGCCCCCCCAACCCCCAACCCCCGCCCCAACGTTGCAGGGCCAATTTAACCCAAGGGCTTTTATTTGCACAAACTTGGTAGACACCCATAAGAAGATGTTTCATGCTAAACATCTAAGCTCTAGCTCATTGGGCTTTTTAAAAGAAGATTTTTTTAAAGTTTTTACTATACACATATAGTTAAAAACAATGACACCCCTGGGGCCGGGCCAGGGCTTTTATTTGAACAAACTTTGTAGACACTTACTAGAAGATGTTTCATGCTTAATATCTAAACTCTAGCTATTTGGGTTTTTTCAAAGAAGATTTTAAGTTTTTGCTATACACATATAAAGAAAATCATTGACCCCCGGGGCGGGGCCAATTTTGACCCCAGGTCTTTTATTTCAACAAACTTTGTAGACACTCACTAAAAGATGTTTCATGCTTAATATCTTAACTCTAGCTATTTGGGTTTTTTTCAAAGAAGATTTTTAAGTTTTTGCTATACACATATAAGGAAAATCAATGACCCCCTAGGCGGTGCCAATTTTGACCCCAGGGCTTTTATTTGAACAAACTTGGTAGACACCTATTAGAACATGTTTGATGCTAAATATCTTAGCCATAGCTCTTTGAGTTCTTTAAAAGAAGATTTTTTAAGTTTTTACTATATGCATATAGGGAAAATCAATGACCCCCTGGGGCGGGCCCAATTTTGACCCCAGGGCTTTTATTTGAACAAACTTGGTAGACACTTATTAGAACATGTTTCATGCAAAATATCTTAGCTCTAACTCTTTTGGTTCTTTAAAAGAAGATTTTTTAAGTTTTTACTATATGCAAATAGGGAAAATCAATGACCCTCTGGGGCGGGGCCAATTTTGACCCCAGGGCTTTTATTTGAACAAACTTGGTAGACACCTATTAGAACATGTTTGATGCTCAATATTTTAGCCATAGCTCTTTGAGTTCTTTAAAAGAAGATTTTTTAAGTTTTTACTATATGCATATAGGGAAAATCAATGACCCCCGGGGGCGGGGCCAATTTTGACCCCAGGGCTTTTATTTGAACAAACTTGGTAGACACCCATTAGAACATATTTCATGCTAAATATCTTAGCTCTAGCTCTTTGGGTTCTTTAAAAGAAGATTTTTTAAGTTTTTACTATATGCATATAGGGAAAATCAATGGCCCCCCGGGGCGGGGCCAATTTTGACCCCAGGGCTTTTATTTGAACAAACTTGGTAGACACTCACTAGAAGATGTTTCATGCCAAATATCTAAGCTCTAGCTCTTATGGTTTTTTAAAAGAAGATATTTAAAGTTTTTTCTTTCGGTTGCCATGGCAACCAGAGTTCTGCATGGAATTAAATTCTTTGAACAATTTTTAAAGGTGACCACCAAAGGAACATTCCTGTGAAGTTTGGATGAAATTGGCTTAGTGGTTTATGAGGAGATGTCATTTAAAGTAAAAGTTTACGGACGGATGACGGACAGACGGACGACGGACGGACAAACGCCGGACGAAAAGCGATCACAAAAGCTCACCCTGTCACTTTGTGACAGGTGAGCTAAAAATGCTTCGTTAAATTTGTTACAATTTCCCACGAGCACCTTATCTACTATCAAATCTCAGACACGGAATCTGATCACAGTGTACTACAGAAAGTGGTTAAAAAAAAATGAACCATTTTATGTACATACCATTTCACACAACATTAATTTCAAACTTCCTTCTACAAAAAATAAAAATAACGGGTAAAAAAACAACTTTAAAACACTTAATGGTAATAATTTTGTCGTGCTTTTTCAATCCATCTCTAAAAATCTAACTTTCCTAATATAATACACAGCACTTGAAACTGTATATAATTGTACATGCACATAAATTACATTTATTTTTGAGGATGTTCAAGCTTGGTATGTATAAAGTTAAAAGTTGTTGATTTACATTTTTTTATTTTATTTTTTTACAAATGATAATAACCCTAAATTTCAAAAACTTATGCAGGGTCACAAGTTAAAATTACAACCTATTCCAGCCCGATAACCCTTACAAATAAAAGTGAATTTTTCCTCTTTTTCTTTTTTCCTTTTTTTTTTTAAATTTTTTAAAAGAATTCAGAAGAAGACCCTTAAAGTAACATTAAATTGTCTTTTTGCAAAAAAAATTAAAGATGTAATGCTTAACATTATAAGTATTGTTTTTGAAAGACAAAATTTCCCTTTTCCTTCAAAACACCGCAAAATTCCCCTTAATTCCTCACTCAGAGGGCCATAGACCAAGTCCCCAGTCCATTGTAAGGTAAATTTGGACCATGGTCGTTTAATATTAACAATTTAATAATATTGTTACAAGACAATTGTACATGACATATAATGGTTATATTTAACTTTCAGGTTACTGTTATATGGATTATGTCATATAACCTATGAATTATATGGTAACCAAGGTAACGAGGACTTCATAGTAAGAAAATGTCGGACGAGGAAGATGACACGTATAAAATATATAACCCCTGGGCTTTCATCCATTCTGAGGAGTTTACAACAGACATAGTGATTGAGGATGTTAAGGTATGTGTGAGTCAATACTTTCTCTGGCAAACAAATTTATTATTTATAAAACCATTACAGCCCAAGAATTAATATTTTTAATGTTTATAAAACCATTACAGCCCAAGAATTACTAGAAATAATATATATGAAAGAAAGTCATGAGCTGGAAATTATACATAGAAATTTAAAAATCACACAAAAATCGTATACAACAGACATTGTGATTGAGAATGTTATGTATGTTTTGGTATTGTTATGTATGTTTATGTATGTTATATTCAACCCTTTCTCCGCTGAAATCATGTAATGCAGTTCATTTTTTACTTTAAAGAGACACTCCACTGAGGTTGTGACAAATGAAGGGACTCAAAATAACTTTTCCAGATCTATGTTCCATTTGATGCAGGTCTAGATCAGTAACTTGAATGATCATTCACTCACTCCTTATTTTTGTGTCGCCTCTACGGAGTAGTGGCGACATATAGGGATCACTTCTCCGTCGTCTGTCTGTCCGTCTCTCTGTCCGTCAGTCCGTCACAAAACTTGTCTGGACTACTCCTCATAAACTACTGGTGCAATTTCATCCAAACTTTACAGGAATGATCAGTACCAAGTCTAGTTGTGCATATTGTCAGCATTTTCCGGTTCAATGATTTTTGGCAGAGTTATGGCCCTTTAATAATTTTTAATTTTAAAGTTTGTCCGGACTACTTCTCTTATACCACTAAAGCAATTTCAATGAAACTTTACAGGATTGATCTGTAGCTCAAGTCCTTGCACATATTGCAAGGGTTTTCCGGTTGAATGATTTTTGGCCAAGTAATGGCCCTTTGATAAAAAAGGTGTATTTTACTGTGTGTTGCCAGATACACAAAAGCTTGTCCGGACTACTCCTCATAAACTCCTGGTGCAATTTCATCTAAACTTTACAGGAATGATCAGTACCAAGGGTAATTGTGCATATTATCAGCATTTTCAGGTTCAATGATTTTTGTCAGAGTTATGGCCCTTTAATAATTTTTATTTTTAAAGTTTGTCCGGACTACTTCTCTTATACCACTAAAGCAATTTCAATGAAACTTTACAGGATTGATCTGTAGCTCAAGTCCTTGCGCATATTGCACGGGTTTTCTGGTTGAATGATTTTTGGCCGAGTTATGGCCCTTTGATAAAAAGGTGTTTTTTCTGTGTGTTGCCAGATACGCAAAAGCTTGTCCAGACTACTCCTCATAAACTACTGGTGCAATTTTATCCAAACTTTACAGGAATGATCAGTACCAAGGGTAGTTGTGCACTGTCCGTCTGTCTGTCCGTCTGTCACAAACTTTGTCCCAACATGAAATTGGCCATCATGAGGCGACACATGTGATTACTGATCGCTCTTGTCTGAACAATTATTCTAATTGTAAACAAGAGCTGTCGGTAGGACAGCATGCTCGACTATTCTTAGTGCTTGATAGTAAAAAAAATGCCTGATACAGTTACCTCCTCCTGTTTACAGGTTGGGGTCATGATGGTGAACAAGTGTGCAAAGTTTCAAAGCCATATGTCAATGGACTTTGAAAATATTTGAACTATTACAAAAACTTTAACGTAAATTCTAAGTCGAAAAAGGGGCATAATTCTGTCAAAATGCTTGATAGAGTTACCTCCTCCTGTTTACAGGTTGGGGTCATGATGTTGAACAAGTGTGCAAAGTTTCAAAGCCATATGTCAATGGACTTTGAAAATATTTGAACTATTTACAAAAACTTTAACGTAAATTCTAAGTCGAAAAAGGGGCATAATTCTGTCAAAATGCTTAATAGAGTTACCTCCTGCTGTCTACAGGTTGGGGTCATGATGTTGAACAAGTGTGCAAAGTTTCAAAGCCATATGTCTATGGACTTTGAAAATATTTGAACTATTACAAAAACTTTAACGTAAATTCTAAGTCGAAAAAGGGGCATAATTCTGTCAAAATGCTTGATAGAGTTACCTCCTCCTGTCTACAGGTTGGGGTCATGATGGTGAACAAGTGTGCAAAGTTTCAAAGCCATATGTCAATGGACTTTGAAAATATTTGAACTATTACAAAAACTTTAACGTAAATTCTAAGTCGAAAAAGGGGCATAATTCTGTCAAAATACTTGATAGAGTTACCTCCTCCTGTCTACAGGTTGGGGTCATGATGGTGAACAAGTGTGCAAAGTTTCAAAGCCATATGTCAATGGACTTTGAAAATATTTGAACTATTACAAAAACTTTAACGTAAATTCTAAGTCGAAAAAGGGGCATAATTCTGTCAAAATGCTTGATAGAGTTACCTCCTCCTGTCTACAGGTTGGGGTCATGATGGTGAACAAGTGTGCAAAGTTTCAAAGCCATATGTCAATGGACTTTGAAAATATTTGAACTATTACAAAAACTTTAACATAAGTGGTTACGCCGACGCCGACGCTCGGGTGACTGCAATAGCTCTACTTATTCTTATCGAATAGTCGAGCTAAAAATGTCCCTAAAATTCAGAGGTGTTTTATTCAAATCACCTAGAAATAGCACAAAAATACAATTTTAATTTTTTTCGGAGTCAATTTCTTAATTGTTTCTTGCATATCTTTCTGTTTAAAGAGCTCCAGCTGATCTATGTAAGAAAATAAGAAAATCAAATTTCGTGTTTTTTAGGCTTTTGTACCTCAGTGGAGTTCCTTTAAGGGTGTGTGTGTTAAGTTTCAAAATATCAAAACTCAGAAAAGTCTGGCACTATACTGTTGGTACAACTATCCCTTGCCCCTCCATGTGTTACATGAAGGGATTTTTGCCTATCATTCATTATCAAAACATTAAGCAGACAGCAAAACAGAATCTAGTCATATAATCATATTGCATGTAAAAAGATCTTGCCTCAATGACTTTCACCTTATATAACAGGGCACATAAAAGACCTCTTCCCAGTGGGAATTTTCTTTTAAATCATGCTCTTTTTTTTCTTCAAAAAACCTGAACTAACACCAGCTTTGTTACCTACCAAACAGCAATTTCTGGCCTCTTCCCAATTGAGAAAAACCACTGGGCCTGATATAGATTACTTTAACCTTTAATATACATGAATGAAAATGTTCTTTCAACACATTTACCTTGTTACTAGTATACACACAGATTCTACACCACAGGACATAAAGATAAACATGCATTATTTTCTTTTTACCATCACAGGAGATATACTCAACGGGCCCAGCAGAAACAGCGGAGGGGGAGATCGTGGAGCAGGACAGCCAAGAGGCGATACAGTACTGCTCCTATAAACGAGAGGAGGATGAGAGCGATGTCCACGAGGAGAAATTTATTCTACGTTTTCTTGCCACGAATACAAACAATATCCACAGATACATGTGGGTTACAGACAGCGGGGAAGTGCGCACAGATGGAGGGTACACAAATATTGCTAGTAAGAGAAAATATAATTATTTTGTATTTTACCTCCTCAAACTCTTTAATGGACTTGTTCAGCTTACATATTTGGAACTATCCATTATCAGTTTTAGGGATATCAAGATGAAAATTTGAAAACGGTCAGGCAACCTTATAGATGATAGAACCTGCTCAGACTGCACTAATGTGATCGCTGGCCTGGCTTTTATACAGGTGGCAAAAGCTTATCAATTTTCATTCCAGCATGGTACCCTTAGTTGGGGTAGTTTCATGGGGGCAAGTTAAAAATATCAGAAAACCTGAAAACCCTGAATTTAAATATATAGTATCATGAATAGGAAAAAAGAGAGCTTTCTGGAGTAGATGAAACAAATGCCTGAAAACTTGTACCCATATAGATTAAAAGAAGTAAGAACCAGAAAAGATCTTTTGGTGAAAGTGGTTATGACAAAGATTTCTTCGTCCATTATACTTCTTTACTTTAAATCCAACGCTGCCTGGAAGCATTGTTTCCCAAACAAATGATGCCAATCAATTCATTCCTGCGATCAATTCATTTCTGCGTAAAATGATACTTTATCTATATAGTGTAACTGTGTTTACATACAAATACCTCTTCTTTTGAGGCAAAAATCACAACATGGCAGCACTAATACAAATTTAAAGCACTGATTTGAATGGCTTAATTGATTATGTATAGTACTTAATGAAGTTATTCAAGCATTTATCAAAATGAAGAATACCATCTTAAATCTTAAATCATAGAATTATACATATAATTATCATCTATGTTTCAAGGCAAAGTATATTTCAGCTCTGTTCAGCAAATAAAGTTGCTTTTTTTGTTTTTTTTGGAAAAACATTATTTACTTGACAAAAAAAAAATTAAGCAATATTTTTTCATTCCAGCATTTTTCGAGGTAATACATTGGTGTAGTCCTAAACAGAACAGCTACCAGTTGATATGTTACGGCGGCGGTTGTAAAGGGTACATACTTTATGTGGACGGAACAAACCTGTGTACAAGGGTAACATATTTATACTTACATAATTTATAATCCTAAATGCAGGCCTCCAGATAAGCCAAACTATTTCAAGTAAAAATTGTACTAAGAATTTACAAAATATAAAAAGATTCAAGAGTTTAGTAATTATGTACATGTCTTGCAGAATTTGTTACCATATTTCTACTGCGTATGTAATGCAGAAAGGCCAATTTTTGGCATATTTTTACCACTTTTTGATTCTTTTCGTGAATTGTAAGCACCGTTTGCAATGTGTAAATTAATATCTGTGTTTACTTTGCAATGTTTTACTTTAAAAACATTTTAAAATTTTCATTAAAATTAGCATGGATCTGGAGGCATGCTGATTTAAGCCATACAACGAGCCATCCAGAAAATTTATACATGTATATACAATGATTCAATTTCTCTTTTTTTCCCAAAATCAAAAATATTTTGACTGTTTCATAAGAAATATTTTCATCAAAAGGTGTATAACAATGTACAAAAGGAATTTTTTTTAAGATCAAAATTTCAAACATATCCCTTTACAAGATTGTCATGTCTCCAGCAATGATCAGTTAACATCACTTAGAATACTAAGTTTAGGTTTCTGGAAAATAACAAATTAGGAATCAACTTGGTTTATAGCAACCTTATGTAAAACCCAGTTTGGGATTGCTTTTGTGTCAAGATCACAGTTACCAGTACTGAAAATAGGAAAATGGTTTCCAGACAATAACTAGAGTTAGGCATGAGATATTATAATCAAACTTGGCATATATGAAGCTTTTGAAGAGACCAAGCTTGGGATTGTTGTTTGGACTCCTAGGTGGTTCTACCATGCATTATTTCAGGCTTGAACAGGCACCTGAGGTCTTTCTCCACCAGTAAAGCTGGAACGTTGCCATATGACCTATACTGAGTTGGTGTGATGTAAAACCAAAGCAAACAAACATATGGATCCCTAGATGGATCCGTAGGTTCATTGTTACTAAAATAATGGATAGTACTTAAATATTGCATGATTATAATTATACAGGTCTTATTCAAATCTGGCTAACTTTTTTTATACATATTTGTCTCACTTTTCTTCTCTTTTTTTTAACAAAGATAATGGGTAACAGATTATTATACTCTTTTAACAAGGCAATTAATTGTAATAATTATTGGTACATAGATAAAACATCATAAAATAAAGGACGAGTTCAAATTTTGCTTCAGACCACTTATTATTCAAAAAGTTAAGGTGGCGGGTAGGGTTTAGTGATAGCTTTAGTTTTTCTTTCTTTTCATTACAAGTTTAGATCATTTATCAGTGCATTATAAATAATTTCAGAAATACAATGAAGCTACTGATGACCATGATATAACTACAAAATTTCAAATGTGTCCACGCGGAGATGACATCTCCGTGCGGGCTTTCATTTCAAAGACTGGCGTTGCTTTATATTTTGACGACGAAGGAAATTATCGCCCTGAAGGACCACCGACCCCTCGTGGAGGGCCTGGGGCATCGATGGAAGACGCCGTGTCAAGACTTCATCCTTTGTATTTCATCACATCAAATGTGAAGGTCTTACGCGTGACTTCCGTTTAAGTTAAAGCAATTAACGGCACACCAAACATTACATGTATTAATTTATACAGAAGCTACAAAGCATGGTGAAATCTATAATTCTATAAATGATTTATTTTCTATTATAAGGTGTCTTAAAGTTTATAATAATGCACTACACTTACATAACATATCAATTAATACAATCATTTAAAAACGGCCAAACAGTAAGTTCATTAAGATAGGTCAATAGATCTCAAATTTTCAAAATTATTCATGTGGAGAAGTTGTCAAGTGCATAAAAAAACTATAGTGGTCCTAGTACAGAAGCGTGTTATGTTTCAGGAAGCTCTTGAAAATATGTGACATTAAAATATGGTAAAAATTAGCATATAAAAATCTGGATAAAGTGTGATCTCTTGAAAGCACTAATCAGTAATCACAACAAAATTACTTGAAACAGCAGACTTGGCTTGATTGAGTCTGTACATGAGGGAAAAAGTGCAACATCCCCCTAGCACCGTCTTCAAGGTGTTGGAATCAATGATTGTGAAGGACCAAAAAATTAAACAACACTGAAGTGAAGTATGGCATTTGACACCTACTGTTGTGAAGAGCAAACCTAACAAGTGAAACAGAAAAAATATCTTTACAATCAAACATCCATTAAGATTTTATTCATGCTAAAGTCCAACTAATTTTGAACAAGTTGATTCTTTTGTTTCATGTATGGTAATTTCTCCGTTTTAAGATTCTGACCCAAAACAATAGTGTGTCAACTTTTGATCAAGATATCAACTTGTTTTGAATACTCGTACCAATTCCTAACTCAACAAAATGAAATAAATCTGAAGACAGCTGAGTATGCCAAATTTCATATTTCTTAACACAGAAGACTTCTTGGTTCTGGGTGAAAAATGAAACACACTACTTATACAGTTAAGAAATTGAAACTAGTCAAAAACTTTTTTTTAAACCTATGACAATATTTTGGCCACAAGAATACAAATTATATTTTTCTTTGATCTACATGGTAATAAACCTGATCTCATTATAAATATATACTTTTATAATATCATATTGTTCATAATTATCATTTTAACAACTATAATGTACATGTGTATGTTATCCATGCTTAATGAGGGTCCATCTGCCCTTTCAGGCACCGACAGTATGGACCCAAATACAATGTACATTTAAACTCACAAGCCATTAATTATCAAATAAATGTAACTTTTCATTTTACAAACAAGTCCCATGATTATAGTTATTCAAGACATGTCTCTGACAGCTTGATCTTTTAATGGTCATGTTCAACCCATAGGGGGTTCTCTTGATTTTTTTTCCCTTTTCCCACACTTCATATATTATAATATAAAAGATTGGACAGGAAAAAAATTGAGAGGACCCTTTATGTGTTCTCCCTGCAAATTTTGTTGTATGAACTTAAAAGGTTACAAATGAACATAAGAAATATGATACTGTGATGGCCAAATTTAACTTGAAGGAACTGCTGCAACAGTCATCGAATTTAGTGCTGGCCCAGTGGCCCATGGTCAGTGTGAATTACTTCGGGCCAGTGTAAATTTTAAGAAAATTTAGTTAAATATATAGTAGAATAAATTCAAAGGAGTTTGTATAAGATAAGAGCTCAGTATACAGGCCAGTAACTGAAGACTGACACACTTGATATATTGGTATCAGTTGTCCACATTTTTTCTAAGAACTTTTATAGAAAAGAATAAACAAGATAATTACAATTTAGAAGTGAACTAGGATATTTTCTTCAAGAAAGTTTAATTTAGTTTCACTCTTATCTTGGACAATCAGTAAGTGCTGTACCTTATGATAATTTTGCCATCTTTTAGTAGCTTTAATATTTTAAATAAACAATTTTTGCATGAATCCAAGGGAATATTACTTTGTAAGTTGCACTTAGACTGTATTATTTCCCTTTACAAAAACTTTATGAAATATTTATTCATAGTCATATTCTTTTTTAAATGTTCCATGTGAAATTTTGTGTTGATTTTTAACTTTAAGCACACATGTATATAAGAAACACAAGCATATTGTTTTGATCCCCATTCATTTACTATAGATATGTTATAAATCCCCCCCCCCCAAGACCACTAGAAATTAGAAATAATCCAAATTTACATAAAGGCTAGTGGCTTAATTTACTTAAAATTCACAACTTCTATCAAAATGAAATGCAATAACCCACTGTTTATCAAAACAAAAACATCAAGCAAAATCTAAGTGATAAAAAATATTATACAGTGTAACTTCCGAAAACCGAACACCCATGGGACTTGTCAAAAAGTTCGGATTTTAGAGGTTTCCGGAATTCAGAGGTTTATGATAATGTGGACAAGACTAAGCCACTTAATATCACTAAACGTCAAGGACGATGTGGCCATTACTGTAATATCATATCAGTTTGTAAAAATGTTGTTAATTGCATAAACTTACATATCGTCCGATGCTAGTTAATTAATTATTACATCAAATGCAATAAAATCCCTAAAGACGTTTGATGCATACATTGTCCCATTAATTGTCATTTAATCCGCTAATAAACACTTCAAATTAACTGACCGCCGTAAATTACTTTGACTAACCGCATCACTTCAAACATACCATTTCAGTTTGTGATTTTAACGCGTGTCCGATTACACGATCACCGCTAATTAGTAAACAATCAATAGGGAGATTAAATCTTCCTGCAGGGTTTACAATGTATTTCACACCTTTGGATATTTCCGGTTTTTGGAGGTAAAATTGCATTGATTTGACTCTAATATTTCGAAAATATCGTCCGGAATTCAGAATTTAGAAGTTCCGGAATTCAGAAGTATTATATTAATAGAAAATAGAAGGGAAAAATCGGGACCGAAAAAATTGTTCGGTTTTTAGAAGTTTCCGGATTTCAGAAGTTCCGGAATTCGGAAGTTACACTGTATTAACAAAAAACTAATGCATGAAGGGCAAGTAAAAATCTATATAATTTTTTTTTTCCGAATGTAACGTTTATCCTTGTTGCATAAAGTGTTTTAAGTGCTTTGCTTTACCATTTGTGCAATAAACCACTCATAACTTATTTGTTGTTGTTGTTTATATACAAAGGATGTGGGGTGCCAGATCAACTTACTTGATGAACTCAGCTGATCTTACTGCTAGACACAAATGAATTTTTTTCATCCAAAATTATCAAAAACTGTTTACAATTTTATTTCCTTTTTGACACAATTTTCCAGTCCCAAAACACAGTATATGCACAAGTCTAGTACCTATTTTCCTAAGACATAGTAGACTTTCTATGGACGTACATAGCAGAAGCTATCTATAGGGACAGCTTTCTGTCTTCTACCTGACATAAGTCAGCTGCTGTTAAGTCATGGTTCTGAAGAGGAATGTGCACAGGGCATATTAGGGGAAAATAATACCATTTTTAGGGGGAAATATACCTATTTTAGGCTAGGGGAAACAGCCTTTATTCCGCTGCAAAATACAGGGGTGAAATCACTGGTAGAGCATGCATCTTTTTTTGAAGAGAAAAAGGTAAGATTTTTTCATAAATTGACAGCAGCCATGTATATAAAATTACATGTATATAAACATCACGATTATCCAATGAAAAGTGATGTAACAAATGTGCAGTATTATAAGATATACAAATACTAACCTTACAATGCGTGTAGGTTCCTTTCAGTAAATGTATAGCACCATATGGTAATGAATGAACTGTGGCAAGCTCGTAGGAATTACCCGCCCCTTGCGCAAATTTGATACACTGAGTAAAACAGTCAAGTAGCTCTACCAAAACCTGCAAATAATGGTATTTTTATATAATAACACTTAAGTATATATGCTAAATGAATCAAGAAACCAAAACAGCTTTATAAAACCAAAAGGTAAGCAGGGAAAATACAAAATTCAAACAATGACTTCGTAAAAGTGATGTTTTTGTAAAATTCTTCTGTGTCATGAATGATTTTATTGGTTTGCTTACAAAAGCTTGATCGGGGAAAAAAGTATCAGCTGGACGATATGATCTACATGTAAACATAGGACAATTTTTGGCTAGACGACCAGATCTTCATGTTATTTATCCATGAAGTCAGAAAAACCTAAGAAAAAAACATTTAAGTACACAAAAATACTGAAAAATCAGTCATTATTTGCATGATATGTAAATTACTTCCTGAATTTTAAATACTTTTACTTTCCTTAAAATCCTAGGACATTTTACTTAAGGTTGATATTCTTGAAATATTTTTGACTTATCTGGGGGCCACATGCAGCTTTAAAAACAAGTTTTCTTATAAACAATATCAAGAACTTTCTTTAATAATACGGCCAACAGTATGAAATAAAATACAATACCTCTAATAAAACTTCAAAGTTTGCCTGTGCTGAAGAGTGTTTAGGTGTTAACTTTATTTCTTCCAGTACTTTGTCAAGCATTAAGCATCCCTGAATAAAAAAATGTTTATTATATATCATTTCTAAATAGTGTTAACTTTCTTAAGGACATCTTTAAGCTTGGAAGTTCTATTATTCACAGTTAAATTTCTACAAAGTTTATTCTTATCAAGTGTATTTAAAACAAGTGCTGTTGGTAGGACAGTGTGTTTGACTATTCTCAGTGAAGAGCCTTGATAATATACAATTGTCAAAGTCAAAAAGGGCCATAATTCTGTTAAATAAATTAATGTAAGAGTTATAGGCCTTGGACAGTGACATTCTATTGTACTGTAAATAAAGTGCAAAGTTTCGAACCATTCCCTTCAGTAGTTTTGGAGATACCAACTTGCACAAAAGTGTGACGGCAATGCCTATGCTGACGCTGGGGTGAGTACAATAGTTCTCCCTATTCTTTGAATAATCAAGCGAAACAAGTGTTAAAGACTTTGTCAATCTTGTGGTAGAAGTCCTGGGAGCAAATATTTTCCTGATGAACAGTCAGCAACAACAATATGAATATTGTCCTTACTAAATTAGCAATTTCATTTTTTCTTCAGTTCATTTTTTCTACCTCCTAAACTATTCTAACAAGAGCCATATCAACATGGCCATCCCCCGCCTAATGTGTTTGCTCATTGGAAGAATGTATATGTAGTAGAGCAGAATAATTCAATTTTAAGAGGTCTTTGGTAATGAAAACTGATGGCTGAAGTGATAACAGATTTGAAACCTATATGAATACTGATGGCTGAAAATAACTAAGGGCAATAACTGAAAAATAATGCAGGGTAGGTTATCATTCTTGTGTGCTGCACCCTCCTCAGTAAAATCTATCCACCTATGAGGTTTCAAGTTGATACCTCAAATACTTTTTGAGATAAGCTCCCAACAAAATAGTATGAAAAAGAACAAAGGGCAATAACTCAAAAATTATAAAGGGAAGAGTTATCATTCTTGCACACAGCATTCCTCCTCAATAAGATCTATCCACCTATGACATTTCATGTTGACATCTCATACACTTGAGTTATGCTCCACTCAGGTGAAAAATTAAGTATGAAAAATAACAAAGGGCAATAACTCAAAAATTATGAATGGTAGAGTTATCATTCTTGTGCACTGCACACCGCCTGAGTGAGATCTAATGACCTATGAAGTTTCATGTTGATATCTCAAAGGCTTTTTGAGTTATGCTCTGGACAAAAATTAATTTTAAAAAATAACAAAGGGCAATTACTCAAAAATTATGCAGGATAGAGTTATCATTCTTGTGCACTGCACTCCACCTCAATGAGATCCATCCACCTATGAAGTTTCAAGTTGATACCTCAAATACTTTTTGAGATAAGCTCCCAACAAAATAGTATGAAAAAGAACAAAGGGCAATAACTCAAAAATTGTATAGGGAAGAGTTATCATTCTTGCGCACAGCATTCCTCCTCAATAAGATCTATCCACCTATGACATTTCATGTTGACATCTCAAACACTTTTTGAGTTATGCTCCACTAGGTGAAAAATTAAGTATGAAAAATAACAAAGGGCAATAACGAAAAGATTATGAAAGGTAGAGTTATCATTCTTGTGCACTGCACACCTCCTGAGTGAGATCTTTGCACCTATGAAGTTTTATGTTGATATCTCAGACACTTTTTGAGTTATGCTCTGGACAAAAATTAATTTTGAAAAATAACAAAGGGCAATAACTGAAAAATTATGCAGGGTAGTTATCCTTTTTATGAACTGAACTCCTCCTCAATGAGATCCATCCACTTATGAAGTTTCAAGTTGATACCTCAAATGCTTTTTGAGATAAGCTCCCAACAAAATAGTATGAAAAAGAACAAAGGGTAATAACTCAAAAATTTTAAAGGGAAGAGTTATCATTCTTGCACACAGCATTCCTCCTCAATAAGATCTATCCACCTATGACATTTCATGTTGACATCTCAAACACTTTTTGAGTTATGCTCCACTAGGTGAAAAATTAAATATGAAAAATAACAAAGGGCAATAACGAAAAGATTATGAATGGTAGAGTTATCATTCTTGTGCACTGCATACCGCCTGAGAGAGATCTATGCACCTATGAAGTTTTATGTTGATATCTCAAAGGCTTTTTGAGTTATGCTCTGGACAAAATTTAATTTTGAAAAATAACAAAGGGCAATAACTCAAAAATAATGCAGGGTAGAGTTATCATTCTTGTGCACTGCATTCCTCCTCAATGAGGTCTATCCACCTATGAAGTTTCAAGTTGATACCTCAAATACTTTTTGAGATATGCTCCGGACAAAAATGTCGGACGGATGGATGGACAGACGGACGGACGGAGACTATTTCTATATCCCCGCCCCCTTCGGCGGGGGATAAAAAGAGAATGAGTAAATAGAATCAGATAAAGTATTGCCATGGTTACCTTTGAGGAGATATCTGCAAACACCAGATTTTCTGCTACTTCTATCTGTACCCACGGCAAAAAGGACACACATATTATCTTTAATATACCTAAAAATAACACAAAAAATATAATACATACATGTTTATTGTTATTTTCAGATAATTATAAGTCAAAAATACTACTTGACACACTGTGGAATTTAAAATTGCATAATTTGATATTTTTTCTTTTTTTTTATTACAGAGAGATAAAGCTTTGGAATTTTAGGCAATTTTCTGTTATACATTGTTATCAGAACAACATTTGAATTTTCATGATCTACACATATACATATCAATCAATTTATGAATATAATGCTGAAATAATTTGATCTGTAAAATGTTGGAACTCTGCACTCCTAAATTTATTGTTTATATATATCAAAGCCCTATTTTTTTTCAGGCTGTTAACTTAAAATATCAATACTTTATCTTATCAAAGCCTTCTTATGTATTGAATAAATGTGATCAAACATTGTAAAAAAAACCACATATATTTACTATATCAAAGCATTAACACCACATATGAAATTACCTATTTCCTCTTGAAGAACTGATGCCTCTTGCAGGTGACTCTTTAGTATGTCAAGGAAACATATATATGTAATTACACAAGAGCGATCAGTAATCACATGTGTCGCCTCATGATGGCCAATTTCATGTTGGGACAAAGTTTGTGACAGACGGACGTTCTCACAGGACAGTAATTATGTGGCTACTCTATTGTTCTCTCTATTGTTCTTTTTAGCCACACAAAAGAAAATAGCCACATAAAAGCATTACGGAATGAATGACATCAAAGAGAAAGAACAGTTACCTATTGTCCCTCTAGCCACATAATTACTCTCCTGTGAGTGCGGACAGACGGACAGTGCACAACTAGACTTGGTACTGATCATTCCTGTAAAGTTTGGATAAAATTGCACCAGTAGTTTATGAGGAGTAGTCCGCACAAGCTTTTGCGTATCTGGCAACAAAAAGAAAAAAACACCTTTTTATCAAAGGGCCATAACTCGGCCAAAAATCATTCAACCGGAAAACCCTTGCAATATGCGCAAGGACTTGAGCTACAGATCAATCCTGTAAAGTTTCATTGAAATTGCTTTAGTGGCATAAGAGAAGTAGTCCGAACAAACTTTAAAAATAACAAGAGGGCCATGATGGCCCTGAGGTCGCTCACCTGTATATAGGCCCCCCCCCACACCCCCCCCCCCCCAACGTTGCAGAGCCAATTTAACCTAAGGGCTTTTATTTGCACAAACTTGGTAGACACCCATAAGAAGATGTTTCATGCTAAACATTTAAGCTCTAGCTCATTGGCTTTTTAAAAGAAGATTTTTTTTAAGTTTTTACTATACACATATAGTTAAAAACAATGACACCCCTGGGGCCGGGCCAGTTTTGACCCCAGGGCTTTTATTTGAACAAACTTTGTAGACACTTACTAGAAGATGTTTCATGCTTAATATCTAAACTCTAGCTATTTGGGTTTTTTCAAAGAAGATTTAAAGTTTTTTGCTAAAACACATATAAAGAAAATCAATGACCCCCGGGGCGGGGCCAATTTTGACCCCTGGGCTTGTATTTGAACAAACTTGGTAGACACCTATTAGAACATGTTTGATGCTAAATATCTTAGCCATAGCTCTTTGAGTTCTTTAAAAGAAGATTTTTTAAGTTTTTACTATATGCATATAGGGAAAATCAATGACCCCCCGGGGCGGGGCCAATTTTCACCCCAGGGCTTTTATTTGAACAAACTTGGTAGACACCCATTAGAACATGTTTCATGCTAAATATCTTAGCTCTAGCTCTTTGGGTTCTTTAAAAGAAGATTTTTTAAGTTTTTACTATATGCATATAGGGAAAATCAATGACCCCCCGGGGCGGGGCCAATATTGACCCCAGGGCTTTTATTTGAACAAACTTGGTAGACATTCATTAGAACATGTTTCATGCTAAATATCTTAGATCTAGCTCTTTTGGTTCTTTAAAAGAAGATTTTTTAAGTTTTTACTATATGCATTTAGGGAAAATCAATGACCCCCAGGGCGGGGCCAATTTTCACCCCAGGGCTTTTATTTGAACAAACTTGGTAGACACCCATTAGAACATGTTTCATGCTAAATATCTTAGCTCTAGCTCTTTGGGTTCTTTAAAAGAAGATTTTTTAAGTTTTTACTATATGCATATAGGGAAAATCAATGACCCCCCGGGGCGGGCCAATTTTGACCCCAGGGCTTTTATTTGAACAAACTTGGTAGACACTCACTAGAAGATGTTTCATGCCAAATATCTAAGCTCTAGCTCTTATGGTTTTTTAAAAGAAGATATTTAAAGTTTTTTCTTTCGGTTGCCATGGCAACCAGAGTTTTGCATGGAATTAAATTCTTTGAACAATTTTTAAAGGTGACCACCAAAGGAACATTCCTGTGAAGTTTGGATGAAATTGGCTTAGTGGTTTATGAGGAGATGTCATTTAAAGTAAAAGTTTACGGACGGACGCCGGACGGACGGACGCCGGACGAAAAGCGATCACAAAAGCTCACCCTGTCACTTTGTGACAGGTGAGCTAAAAATTATTAAAGGGCCATAACTCTGACAAAAATCATTGGACCGGAAAATGCTGACAATATGCACAACTAGACTTGGTACTGATCATTTCTGTAAAGTTTGGATAAAATTGCACCAGTAGTTTATGAGGAGTAGTCCGGACAAGCTTTTGTGTATCTGGCAACACACAGAAAAAAAACAACTTTTTATCAAAGGGCCATAACTCAGCCAAAAATCATTCAACCGGAAAACCCTTGCAATATGCGCAAGGACTTGAGCTACAGATCAATCCTGTAAAGTTTCATTGAAATTGCATTAGTGGTATAAGAGAAGAAGTCCGGACAAACTTTAAAATTAAAAATTATTAAAGGGCCATAACTCTGACAAAAATCATTGAACCGGAAAATGCTGACAATATGCACAACTAGACTTGGTACTGATCATTCCTGTAAAGTTTGGATGAAATTGCACCAGTAGTTTATGAGGAGTAGTCCGGACAAGTTTTGTGACGGACGGACGGACAGACAGACAGATGGACAGACAGACAGACGGACAGACAGACGACAGAGAAGTGATCCCTATATGTCGCCACTACTCCGTAGAGGCGACACAAAAAGCATATCTCTGAGTGTCCTTTATTTTTATTTCCTATATGTTTCATATTTCTCTAATATTATTAGGCCAAACATAAATCGGGATCATCGTTTTGCCATGAGCATTAACTCCCTACGTAGTGACATAAGAAATGGCTTATTGCTTCTCAAATTATTGTCTGGACAAGAAATTTACAAGTGTTATTGTAACAGTAACCTTGACCTTTGACCTATGATTCAAAAAACAAGATAGGTTAAACCTATTTGCCATGGGCAATGACCAAGTTACATTAACCATGGCTTATTCCTTCTCAATTTATTGATTGACAAGAATAACAGGACATACATATAGACACTGACCCAATCACAGTGTGCTCCCAACTTTAAATAAAACATAGGCATGAAAAACAGAGAACCATAAACAGGGCACTAGACACCTTTTGGGAACAGTTACCCATACCCTAAGGAAGGGGATATTTTGCGTCGTTTTAAGGCAAAATTTGAAATTTTATGTTATCATGTATTTAGTGTATTCTTTATCACATTTACTCATTACACTATTTCCTACCATTGGTTTCAAAAGTTTGTAATTTTCCTACCATTAAAATCAATAGCTAGTATTAGACTTTTTTCTGAGATAGGGGAAAAATATATATGATTTTGAGAGGGGAACGGTACCCATATTCGGCCCAAAAAATGACCAAACGAGTGCCCTGATAAAGTTGACTAACCTATTCGACCAATAGAGATAAGTGGCATGTACCTAAAATATGTTTTAGGGAAGGCCCCACGATAAGGTTGTTACAACTTTGGGCCCAACCATTTTGTAAACATGTATACTTGTTTCTGTTTGTAAAATTGTGAATTTGTATATTGTTTGTATATTTATACAATAAAATATTATTAAACTAAACTAAATATGTTTCAAGCTTTCAAGGATACAATAAGTTTCGGTAGAGCTTCTTGCAAATTTTGCTGGCAGAGTTTCTCATCCCATGTGACAACAGCTTCAAGAAACAATGCTTGTGACATACTTCAAGGTGCCATATACTGTACATTCCCTCATACAATCATTTCTTAAACATCATATCCATGCATCTCTGTGTCAAATTAGCAGCTTAATTATCTGGAAAAATAATATTCATGCTAAATTTTGTTGTAATCATGGCTACATCACCATTCCTCATCCCTTAACATGGGGCAGTTATTCCCATCAGAGATGCTATCTATGTCTCGGTTCGCATGTCTCAACACTAGAGGTGTCATCGATAAGGATTTTTGTATCGATATATCGGTAATGAATTATCGGCGATACAGCGATATATCGATTGCCAGGCTAAATTTTAGCTTTCAAGTCTTTTTAAATGTTTCCGAAGGACACTCACAAAGCAGTTATATTAAGACAAATGCAAAAAAGATAAACTATGAAAACTGAACAATTTGTTTCTTTTTTTATCATATAGCTATAAATGAAAACTAATGACTAGTAACTATAAAGTTTAAAGCCTTTTCCATTTTATTTTAGTTGTTGATGTTACTATTACGTAGTTAATGATCATGCTAAATCCCGTCTTTGCCGTTCCAATTAAGCCAGGTTTAATTGGCAAATTATAGTGTTTAGAACCTGAATAATTATTAAAGTTTAACATTTTGTAATCATAATTTTTACAAAGAAACACTGACAATTTTTTCTTGGCATTTTCCCTTTTTAAAATCTGAATTGAGGGGTCTTGACATCCACTTAGCAGACGTGCGAGATTACAACGAAATTAGGCAGTATTCGTTAATGATACTGGGAGGTAATTTTGGCATTGATTTCCGTTTTCATTTTAGAAAAAAAATGTTTCTGGATTCCATAACTTTTTATGCCGCTTTTATTTTGACGTTTTGCGACAGTAAACAGGTTTATCAGTTCTATAAAACCTGTTTATTGAAGTCTCTTTAGCTAGAAATATATGTGCATTTGATATCCGATATTTAAAAAATGGAATCGATATCGAATCGGATAACAAAGATTGTTGATACACCGATATCGATTGAATCGATGACACCCCTACTCAACACATAAGTCAGTCATTCCCAAGTCCAGGCTCCCCAAACATGTGTCAGTCATTCCCCTGTCCCCACACATGAGGCAGTCATTCCTTGTCATTCTCCAGTCCCATCTCCCTACATCCCCAGTCCTGGCTCCCCACACGCATCAGTCATTCCCCTGTCCCCATATGAGGCTGTCATTCCTTGCCTCCACATATGGGTCAGTCTTTCCCCCGTCCAGCTTTTAAACATTTTTCCACATTCCCCTTAAACCATAAAATCATTCCATTCTCACACTGGGTTAGTATTCCCCCTCCGGTTTCCCCCCAAAGGGTAGTATTCCCCCGTCCCAGTTCCCAACACATGGGTCAATCGTTCCTAAAGTTAGAAGAGAATTGCAGTAACAAAATACTAGGGCTGTAACAATACGGTAAAAAGCGTATTGCAATATATTGCAATACGCAACATCCGTATTGCAATATATTGCGATACGTATTGTTTTTTATCTTAGGTACTGGGAAATAATTCAGAAAAAGAGACTTGTTTATAATTTCAACAAATATTATATATATATATCTATATCTCTCGCAAAACAGAATTAGTGGATACTTTCCTTTAACAAAAAATTAAACTGTTTCAACTATTGAAGCATCAACTATGAGTAACTTAACAGCAAAATAAAACTTTAAACACTTTTCATTCAGTAACTAACAATCTAAACTATATCCTAATGATTTTCTTAACACAGTTTCAGACTAGGACTAGATCACAGGGATTGAGTGACGGTGGCAATTAATCCATGTTTTTCTTTAGAAAAATTAACATGTCTACTTTGTCAGCATCTAGTATTCAATAATTTCATGGGTCTCTCTTTTCCTTGTAATTGATTTTTTTATCAGATCGTAATTATTTCTGTCTGCCATAGTAAATCACCGATTTTTTAAGCATTTTTCTACCCGCGCACCATGTAATTTTTTTACCCTAACACCCCTTTTTTAACACGCTTCCTACTTTATTGTTTTTTTCTTTTGTGCATAGGACATTTTCATAACATTTATTTATCAAGAAAATTATGGAAGACTTTCTTTTATTTATAGAGAAAATTATGGAACACTGTTATTACTAAATAAAACCGGTACAACTAAATGTGAACCGCAGTACAATTTTTATTTATCCTTCACCGCAATATATCGGTGTACAGATAAACCGTTACAGCCCTACAAAATACAAATTATTGACTATGTAAGTTAGGTATCATACATTTAAATTGTTATATTAAACAAAGCTATTAGTATTCAGGGAATTCCCCAGGAATGTTTTTAAGCGCTACACTTTTGAACCAGACGGGGGTGGGTGCGGGAGGGGGTCTCGACCCCCATACCGCGTGTCGAAATTTTTTTGCCATTTTAGGTGTCAAGATACTGCTGTGGGCTGTTTTAAAACAAAAAATGAAAGCTTTTCACTTGATAAACATTTTCTTTATTTTCCTTTTTTATTTTTTTCAATATCCAACAATTCAAACAAATAAACAATTATAATATAAACAGTTTAACACAAGTTCACAACATGTCCTCAACATTTATATGTATGTGTCAGTGTGTGTCCCAATTTTAGTTGATTTTCTCTTCATTAAAAGTGGGCCTGTCTTCTGGGTTTGTTGTCCTTCCATGCCTTGACTGCCTTCTCAAAATTGAAGGATTCTAATGGAGGTCCTTGAAGGGAGACGGCAAGAAGAGAGTTAAGAACTTTAACAGACAGACGATTCCTGTTTTCCGTCTTTACTCTCTTCAGGCAGCTGAATCCTCGCTCACAATCTGAAATTAATAAATGAAAGTAATCATTTATGTTAACACAACCTCATGCCTTTTATTTATTTTGTTTGTTTGCTATGAATTTTTGAAAATTTAAAACTTCTAGCCGTTTAAACTTAACTTAGTAAAAAAATTGATATTTGAAATGTTGGAAAAACTTCTAGCAAAGTGTTACACATCTGTAACTGTCATTGGAAATTTATTTATGTCCAAAAATGAATCAATTTAATAATAATTACCTGCAGTAGAGGTTGGGAGGAGGAGACCCACGCAGCAATTCTGTAAAGAGCTGGATGACTGGTTGAAAGGTTGCCAGTAATCCAGGTCATGGTCTGGTCGGCTGACTGATCAGTCCCTCTAGACTGGCACGTACCTGGTGCCAGTTGCTGCGGCACTGCTCCATATCAACACCAAAGTGCCTGGCCAGCTCCTGTATGTCCTGATGGTTGTCATCTTCAGAACTGCCTACAGAAAATGCCCCAAACTTCTCTAAGAGAGGTAGATCAGGGAACCTGTCCTCAAGATTTTGTAGAAGGTTGTCCAGGAATGGCAGGTAGATCTAGAAAAAATTAGAAACAAAAACATTATAGAAAAAATATTTTAATGTCTTTGTGATTGTACAATAATTTTAATACCTAATTTAATAAAATTTTAAAAACAATTGATATTGGGCCTGTATAGTATGACAGTTTTAATTGATGGTTATTTTATTTATCTTTATCAAATGATACTTGCAAATTACAACATTATCTAAGTTGTGAATCCCTTTCTCACTCACCTTTTCATGAAATGCTGTCAGCTGTTCCTCGGAAGGAGACTTTATTCGGAATCCATCGTCAATAAGCTGGGTACCCCTGGCAGGAGCTTCTTTGTAATTGTCAGCCGACTGGGATTTCATTCCTTGGATGATGGAGATAGTTCCATTGACAAGAGGCTTAATTGTCACATATACAGCGTCCCTTTTCTGAAACAATAAGATATTAAATTAATCATCTATAGCAAGATACTGAATTTATACTTACTAATAAAATACATTGAAGAAGAATGCATTGCTCAAAATTCCAATGGATACACATGTTTTAGTGATTGTTTACAAAAATGAACTGCATTTACATGAAATTAATACAACTGGTACTAAATCAGGTTCACTTCATCTGTATTTAAAAAAAAACTAAGACTTTTATAGAAAAGACAGTTTATAAGATATGCAATGTTGAAAATAATTTGAAATCGTTGTCTAGAATGAGAATGATAATAATTACCTGCATGGCACAAGACAATGCTGTCAGATGGGGTAAAACATCACAGATCATGTGAATTGCCAGAACGAAACGGTAGTCCTGTGTAAAAACAGACAGTCCGGCAGCTCTGGCGTCATTGCGTTCCTCGGCCTCACGCTCAAGGCTAGTGTAAATGGATGGCAGGCACTTCCGTAGAGTTGTAGTGGCCTTGTCATGAGACAACCATCTGACATCTTTTGCCTCCACTAACTTCAACTTGGGTCCTGGAGAAGTTCCTGTTAATAAAATTTGCATTTTTAAAATTGTTGTACCTCAAGATTTTCATAATTAAAATTGTTCATTGATGCTTGTAGTAGAATTACTTATAGTTAACTCATGCTAGTTTCCTACGAAATAATCATTATAAGGCACTATTTTTAATTTCCTTTGCAACAGACCACCCTGAATCAGTACGCAACTTAAATGAACAAAAATCTTGCATGCCTTCAAAGATAATGTTTGAATGTTTAAAGTCTAACCTGAATAGCTTTCAATCCGCTGGTGCGGACAACACTCTTCTCTTAAAAACGATGAAGATCACCAATAATGTCTTTGAACTTCTGAAGATAAGGCACTCCTTTGGCTGCCTGTCCAACAGCTAAAGCCAGTCTGTGGGCTACACAGTGGTTGTTGACTAGGTGGGGGACTCTTCGTCTCAATTGGGCAGCCACACCATTCTGTCTTCCGACCATCACCTTCGCACCATCACTTCCCAAGGCACACATCTTTTCAAGTTGGAGACCCAGGTCTTCTGTGAGGAACGTCCCTAGTGTCTCAGTGATAGTATCAGCTTTTCCGCCAGGGAGAGGGAGGATACTTATAAAGTCTGTCTTGCTAACCCCATCCTTTAGATATCTGAAACATTTATACAATACTTACATTTTGTTTATGTTACAACATTGGAAGATATTTCATAAAACGGAGTGATCATTTGCATTCTGTAGACAATTAAACCTCTTATTTTCTTTCTGTTTTTATTTCAAATGTGTTTTCATGTATAAAATTGCAAATGTGTCCAATTATAATTTTAAAATATATATTTCTGCTGAAACCAATGCTAAGGGGCCTGAACAGTAGGTTTTGCACTTCACAAAGCTGTCCATAAACAGGCTCGATTAAAAAGAGGGCCTGCAAAATTATCATTTTTTTTTTTATTTTTGGGATTCAGTTTTTTTTGTTTGTTATTTACCTGATATAAATAATCATCTCGCTGACAACAGTAAATGTCGGTAGTTTCATCTATCATAATGGAGTACCATGGTGATACCTTTACATCAAATCCAGGATGGACTGTCGGATTAGGCTTTACCCATTGTGAGGACAGCTTCTTGTATGAACCTCTGAGATTCTCCCTTGTTATTTTCGCCCTGGTTGTAGATTATTCAAAATGTTGGCCCCTGAAGTTTGCCTGAAAAAAAATTCAATGTTGCAATAAGAAAAATAATGATTGTTAATGTGACTGTAACAGGAACTTTTATGCCTGCCGTTTATTTCAAGCCATATGAGTTTATCAAAACTTATTTTTATAGCTCATTATCTGAGCATATTTAATACAAACACAAGCCGGATATTCTCTGCAATAATAAGTTAAGTAACATAAAAAAACACTTAATCTGTTAAGAAAACTCTAATTTTACAATATTGAAAATATTACAGGCTAAATTGATTTAGCATGTTCATATACAGTAATGCTTATTTAAGCTTTATTATGAACTATGCAACTATTTTACTTACATAGTTTCATTTAGCGGCAAATAGTTCGTGGTGTGAGGCATCTCCCTTTTCATCAGCCAGTAGAGGTTTCGGGAAGGCGGAGACACGAGCCTTGGTGTGTAGACTGTTGGCCTCTTCTACTGCAGCTTCAACGTTGTTGCTTGGAGCAAGTCTACCAGCTTCAAATGCCCCTTGCCTCATCGTGTGAGTCTGAGCGTTCATGTCTGCGAAGGGCATCCTTTACCAGCCATGTACATGGCTTGTCAACCCATGTTGCATTTCCAAAGGCTGCTTTCTTCGGTCTTTTCTGATGTCGTATGCACAGGGTACACATCATACCTGTAAAGTACCAATATTAAATAAGGTCAATTTCAAGCTATGGTCTCCTTTAAAAGAAACAATTAACAAAATTTATTTTTACTCTTTTGTTTTCAATTAAAAAGAAAATGACCAATCCGCTGTCAATATAAGTGGATTGTTGGTGCAAGTTTTTGTTGTTGTTTTCACTCAGTTGCAAGTTGACAATAAACAGTCGTAATTGTTTTCAATGTTAAAGTAGACATCAACCAAATTCATTTCTGAATATTTGTGCAGTTTAATCCAAGTGAAATATGATTATCATGTATATATTAAAAAGCAAAATGATCCAGATAACGTGAGAGAGTTATTTTTTCAGGGTATTAAGAGCTACCCCAATATTTCTAATTAATAGATTCTAATTTGAAAAAAAAAAGCTTGTAGAGTCTAACTCTTACCATCTTCAACTTCTTTAACCCACGGAAAATCATTTTTCCACTTAGGATCAAACCCAGACAGTCTTTGTTTCTTTGCACGTTGTACAGTTTCACTTGAACTTGTCACTTGGTCATTATCAGAATTTGAGACAGTTTTCAACGACATTGCTCATAAAAAAACTCTTAATTGATAGTGAACTAGGCACTGGCCTCTTTTTTCCCTTATTCATGTTGTTTTTGAATCTTAATTCTAGAGTACTGATTAGACTTAATGATCGTAAGAAAGTGAAAGATGAAATTGCACATTAAACTTATATCAAGACAATAAACCCATTCATCCCTAAAATATCAAACTGTTATATCGCATGTCAATTAATGCCAATTATACTATCAAAACAAGGAAAAAGTTATAACACCTACCTGAAACATGTAAATATCACACATGCCGCGGTTAAATTGCACCCATCTCAATACACTGTAATTGACAATACCTAAAAGTGCACCAACAGTCGTCTGCAGACATCGATGACAGGTGTCTGTGACGTCACACAGTCTCACGGCAATCAGTGTATCGGGTTGTGTATACGCCTCGGGTAATTATCTACACAGGACATGTATATCGGCTTGTTTATTTGGCTAATTGGGGTAACTTTTAGACGCACTAGAAAGGAATATCGGTCGTTTTTTTAAGCGCTATGATAATTTTAAGCGCATCGGGATTTCTTGTACTGAAATTTTAGCGCATCGGTGCCGATGCGCTAAAAGCGTCTGGGGAATTCCCTGGTATTTTATTTAAATTTACAGATGAGTTTATTTTATGATTGACTTGATTCTGCCATTCAAATATATATGTTCGACTGAATGAAAATATACTTTCAGTTTTAAACAAATTCGATGCGAAAAAGTTTTAAACAAATTCGATGCGAAAAAACAAAGTACGAGTTTGAGAGAGTACGAACAAACGAAGTTACGAACTTTTGGTCAGTTTTTCTTTAAGTAGATTTTTGTATATAATATCCAACAATTCTTATAAATCCAGGTAGGCAGAATGGACTTTAATAATTATCTTTCATAGCACATGGCATTAATAACAAAGACAAACCTTTTGATTTTGCCTCGTAAAATGTTTTTATTTTGATAAATCCAAATAACGCGCCTTTCACAGTGAGGCATTATATTCCTACCTTGTAAAAATTGCTCAAAGGCAAGAAGCCACCAATTTTTACGATAAAAACGTGATCGCACTGCTAAAACTCCACTGCAGCTATTGGGTTCACAGGTAACGTCGCGTGGCCATGACTTACACTATATATAGTTATTGACAAAAATAAATTTTATGAAAAAAAAAATTTATGACTCTAAAAAAATGTTAGTTTTTACACGGATTTATATTACATCCGTGGTTTTTAGAGTCATATTTTTTTTTTCATAAAATTTATTTTTGTCAATACTTATGATGTTTGGATGATGTTTAAGGGTTTTGGGTTGTAGAGGGGGAACGGGGGTATAGTGTAAGTCATGGCCACGCGACGTTCACCTGTGATTGGGTTTTGCAGATTATTGAAACAATCAAATTATTGTATCATCCCATCCTTTTAAGTAACTTGTAATATGTAGAACTAATGATCAGTTTGTACTAACCCGGAATTTGTCTAGTAAGTGCAAAACTTAAAGAGCATTCAAAAGTCTTAGAAATGTTTTAGGTGATGAGTTTCATCATAAATCTATATGAATGTTCACATTTGCGGGATAGAGGCACATATTATCTCCTGTTTATCGTGCTTGCAATGTGTATAATTTTAAAACGTTTTATTTAAAATAAATTTCCTGTAACTATGTATCAATTTAATGTTAAATAACCAGTTACTATGTATCAATTCAATGTTAAATAACCAGTAACTATGTGTCAATTCAATGTTAAATAACCAGTAACTATGTATCAATTCAATGTTAAATAACCAGTAACTATGTGTCAATTCAATGTTAAATAACCAGTAACAATGTGTCAATTCAATGTTAAATAACAAGTAACTATGTGTCAATTCAATGTTAAATAACCAGTAACTATGTATCAATTCAATGTTAAATAACCAGTAACTATGTGTCAATTCAATGTTAAATAACCAGTAACTATGTGTCAATTCAATGTTAAATAACCAGTAACTATGTGTCAATTCAATGTTAAATAACCAGTAACTATGTGTCAATCTAATGTTAGATACCCTGTAATTATATATCAATGTTAGATTAAATAACCTGTATCAATTCAATGTTATATAACCTGTTAATATATACCACTAACCAAATTAAATAAATGTTGAAAGGTTTATCAATATAATCGTCCTAAAATAAAAAATCATTTAAAGTCATGATGATAAACATAACGCGCAAAAACTCAGACTTAAAAGAAGGAAAAAAACATTAATATGTAAATTTATTTGTAAAGAATACATCATGTCGTCCATAAACAGGATATGTCTTGAACATTTTGTTAGTACCAGGCGACCCTAGAACAATGTTATCACAATAGAAGACTAAAAAACTAAAGGCACTGTATCATCGTATCATCTGTCAACATGTGTAGACATTAAACATGTTTATGTAGGATATATTCTTTAGTAAATTCCTTAAAATTTAATCTTTTATTAACATCAGCGCCTACGCATGAATTTCAAGGCAAGCCTTAAAATTATCTTTGTTTCCCCTCCCGCGATCTGTGCCAGTTTGGGTAGGGTAGGTAGGTTGATAAAATATACATATATTTTTTAATCTAATTTTTTCCCTATCAAAATTATATGGAGTTCAAAACAAAAAGTGAATGTTTAGCATCTGTTTAAAGATTAGAACAATATTTTTACATGTATGCAACATATTTCCCAGTTTGTATATTTACAATTAATAACATAATTATATAAAGATGTGATTCTCATTAACACTCTCTGCTTCCATGTTTTTGGTAAACAGATTCTTATTTTTTTTGTTGGTAGCTGTGATTTTTCTGGGTAGGTAGCGAAATAAGATTTTTATTTTAGGCACAAATGGTAGTGTAAATTTTTCTCGTATCAAGGACAATTTGTTTGAATATTTCTTTGCGTTAACCATCACTGATCTACAGTAGCATAGGGATCTACGTACAGTATCGCAAGTATATAGAGAAACGAACAATTCTTTCATTATGCTCAGATCTCCAGTAATGCACCGATGTACTCTCTACAGTGCATGTACAGTACGGCTTTACAGATACAGTAACGTAAGTAAATACAGTAAACGCACGAATCAGCAGCATCGCATTGTTCTACAGTAACTCTTGGATGTAAGTAACGCACGTATTTGCACCTATGCATCTATCTAGTAACGCACGTATCTGCACTTATGCATGTATCCAATAACGCACGTATCTGCACTCATGCATCTATCTAGTAACGCACGTATCTGCACTTATGCTTACGCATGTATCTAGTAACGCACGTATCTGCACTCATGCATCTATCTAGTAACGCACGTATCTGCACTTATGCTTACGCATGTATCTAGTAACGCACGTATCTGCCTACGCATCTATCTAGTATTCTACCACGACCAGCTTTTTTCCCTATTGAATATAGAGGAACCGAAAGTGTGTGTTATTATGCAATAAAGTCACTGTTGCCGTTCTATATTAGATATGTAACGTCATCATTATACATTTGACACGTTGAAAATAAGTACGGAAACAAATCAGGCGCAATTTTGCTAAATATCAGGTACGGCGCCCTTTATATGTTAGAATCGAAATAATATATCCAGATTGGTGATTTTATTGCTGGATAACATCACTGTTTGTCGTTCGGATGCTCATCATTATATCACTCTGGCTACGTCCTCGTGATGTAATTCCTCGCATCCGAACTCCAAACAGTGATGTTATTGAACAATAAAATCACTGTTTGGGATATATTGTTTCTTAAACACACGTGTCTGTCTACGCATCTATCAAGTAACACACGTATCTGCATCTACGCATCTATCTGGTAACGCACGTATTTGCTTTAACGCATCTATATAGTAACGCACGTATCTGCTTTAACGCATCTATATAGTAACACACGTATCTGCTTTAACGCATCTATATAGTAACGCACGTATCTGCTCTAACGCATCTATATAGTAACGCATGTATCTGCTTTAACGCATCTATATAGTAACGCACGTATCTGCTCTAACGCATCTATATAGTAACGCACGTATCTGCCAACGCATCTGTCTATAGTAACGTATGTATCTGTGCATAAGCATCTATCTAGTAACGCTCGTATCTGCATCTACGCATCTATCTGGTAACGCACGTATCTGCTTTAACGCATCTATATAGTAACGCACGTATCTGCCAACGCATCTGTCTATAGTAACGTATGTATCTGTGCATAAGCATCTATCTAGTAACGCACGTATCTGCTCTAACGCATCTATATAGTAACGCACGTATCTGTTAACGCATCTGTCTATAGTAACGTATGTATCTGTGCATAAGCATCTAGCTAGTAACGCACGTATCTGCATCTAGCTAGTAACGCACGTATCTGCACCTACGCATCTATCTAGTAACTTACGGAAAAACCTAATTCACCTGTCAAGATGACATTTACAGGGTAGGCAGGACTTAAAACCCAACCTTATACGAAATAAGTACTGTTTGACTGTTGCACTCGCCCTTTAGTCACTTTTTAATAAACGACATTTCAGACTTTTAATCGGATATAAGATATTAACAAGATTAACGGATTTAAATTAGAAAACACAACAAATGTGTATCAATATATTTTGTTAGTAAGACATTGTTTTAACATGTACTAAAATTAAAAGGAAATGACATTGATCTTGGACGTATGTAATTATGTGATACTGAGGATTTACTATATTAATGCCGTTAATAAGTCCCGAACCCCTTGAACTGCATTGTGGGTCTTGGAAGGATGTTTTTAATTTTATATCATACCATAATTAGAATATATGTTGGAGTTTAAGTATACATAAAGAGAAGCTGTGTAGATTACTGTTACGGATGCTTAAAAATGATATTGTAACGGAATTCAACGATCTTGAATGGACCAAGGATTAAATGAATATGATGGGTTTATCGTTTACATAACGAGAACAATGACGATAATCTGCATATCAGACCCCTACTTTTCTAACACTTAGTTCAACTTCCGGCATGCCACTATTAAAATATAATGGCATACCCGAAATGTAAAACATCCAATTGACAGATAGGGTACGTGTTCTAGCGCGTGCAATTATATCATATCACGTGATTTAAATATTGGAACATACTTTAACAGACGAAACGGTCTGTATAAAATTGTAGAAGTGATATAAAGTGACGGAAATTGAAACACAGTCCCTGATGATAAAAAAAAACCGTGTGCCAAATTCTTGTGCTTCCAAATAGAGGTTTATTCAATTGGAAAAGGTATTCGAAAACAAGTCCACCAATATTGTTTGGATTTTATGCTTTATTAAGCAAAGGAAGCATTGATACTACTTTGAACCTGTAATAGAGTTTATTAACGAAAACTTTTTCTTTGCTGAACTCGTAAAGAATGCCTATGTAAGTTGATGCATATATATTTGCGATGTAAACAAAAAGTTATAGATGTTTTTAAATATGAAACATTGACATGTTGTTTAAGCATTTCTATGATGGGATTTTCAATGTCCAGTGTACACACCTATTGAACACGTTCCTATTTCCTTTATATAGTAATTCTGTTATATAACTACAGGTATTTTAAATATATGGTTCACCATTAAAAAAAATATGAAAAGAATATTACAACTTAATAGATATTTGTTTTAGCATTCTTTAATTGTCTATGGATTGATCGTTTATCAGCGTACAATTCCACTCCCGGACAATTCCCTTTACGTTTATTTTTGACATCCCGGACAATTTGAATCTCCTCCCATTTTCTTTTATACATTCCGCTCCCGTTGTTGTTTTTTTTCACAGCGGACAATTCCCATTCCGTATTATTCTTTTTAGGGCAAACATTTTCCCTCCCGTATTATTTTTTTAGGGCGGGCAATTCCCCTTCTGTTGTTTAATACACGAAGGACATTTTCCCCACCGAGATATGTTATACTTGAACTGAAAATAGTATATTTTTATTATGTACAGTCTTAATTAGCGCATAAACTCTG